GTAAGAAACCACAAAAACACACAGCGCCAGACTGCCGACTTACGTAGGGGGTACCCCAATACGGTGTCGTGTCAACCTTGCGTCTCACCTTTTGTACACGTCGGCTTGGCTGATCTTTTTACTCGGTTGACGCAAAAGACCTAAAGACTTATTCTTGGTATAAGATTTGGAGTTGGTGGTCCCCGAGTGGATATGCTTCACTCAGGACCAAATTTTCTTAGCTCGATAGACTGATTTGAGAGCAATGCCACTGGTACTAAGTACCTCTTCGGTGGCTGACGGCTTCTTAGTCTTTCGACCTCTTTTTCTTGTTCTCTTAGGATTCCGCTTCTGTAGCGGGTCTTGAATGGTTATGGTTACGAATTCACAGGCCAAATACTTCCTGGGGTTCGTTCGAGCTTGAATATTACCACACGACTGTCTTAACGGGGGGGCAAAATATATATGTTTTCCTCGGAACAGGTGGGTAGATCGAAACAAGTTCGCACTTGCGTCTTGACACCTCAGGTCAAATATCCTGAGGCTCAACTTGCGTTGCTTGAGCCGTCACCTCACCAGACATCGAGAGGGGCAAAGGGTTTCCCGCCCGTAGTAGGTTAGGTGACGGAGAAGAGCTTATAGGGGGCGCTTAGAGCTGTCACGTGTAAAGCAAATTCGCGTGTGTTGATTTATCTTTTACTTTGTATGCTTTTTCTTGCCCAACCCCAACCCTTCGCTTTGAATAGAGCCACGTGTCGACTCTTGGAGGAAGTACTGGCTCCTTAGTAGATGTACTTTCTATACTCTTCAAGCTTCCGTGTACCGTTTTTGCACCCTCGGGCATAGGTCCTCTGGATCCTTGAACCCTGAGACCCTTGGACCCTAATACCCTTAGATCCTGAGCCTTGGACCCTGGGGCCCTTGGACCCTGGCCAGTTGGTGTCACAAGCACGCCGTCGCGAGGGACGTCACATGATTGGTGTCATTTTTACAATGCCACAGCCATCCGAATAGTTAAGGGTTGGATGATAGTGGCGTGTCTGTAGTAAGCCTTATTACAGAATTAACACAATCATATATGTACAATTATATATGTAGACAGGTACTATGCCCGAATAGTGGGCACAGCGTGGCAATTTAAAATTACTTTAAAATTGGGGCCCAAAGACCTAATATGTCAATGATAAATGAATTGAAAATGAGTGGTTCCTAATGGCGAGAACACGGTCGTACTTAGTACAAGTAATATTCTTTATAATTAGTACGAATTATGACAAAATAAAATACGGATTAAATTCAATAAAAACCAGATACTTGAGCTTGAGACTCTTCAAGCGTACGTGTAAGCTAGTATGGAGACTTTCTTGCCCGTTACAGCGTCGCTTATAAAACGTGCCACTATTGACGCTAAAATAATCTGTAGCGTTCTTCCATTATGTAAACGACAGATAAAAAAATATGGGTCGCATTTCTTCTATTCTAGTCGTGTTGCGTTCGAAAGAAAGAACTGACAAATACGAAGCAGAGTTTCTGCGCCTTTTACATCCGCATTCTAATGCGATGAAATAACGGTTTGCAGGGATTCAGCCTCGCTATCAAGCGTGCGAGATATATCTTGGGTGATAAAATACCCTCATTAATTTTATCCACCCCGCCCCGTCTGAATATAGCAAAGTAAGTGCAGCTGCTCCTGCTCCTAAGCGGACACCACCTTAGTATGGCGTGTCAACCAGCTCCCAAAAGTCTAAACTCTTCGAATATCCTCTTCATTGGACAAGGTTCTAAAGATTCTGCTTCATATAGCATGTTTCAACAAGAATTGATTGTGGACCCGCATCCACCAATGCTAAATAGGAGAGGCGATCAAGCCAACCTACTCGCGGCTGTCTACCCTGATGTAGTCCAGATGCAGTCGCAGAACGATGCGTTAAGGAGGCAGGTTGTCGATCTCGAGAGTCAAGTCTCTTGACTGACCTCAAAACTCCAAGGTGCGAAGGTGAGAGGCCGTCATGGAATTGACCGCCTGAAGCTTCGCTTGGGCATTTTATAGCGGTTTGTAATGAGCGACTTGCAGCATGCGCCAAGTCTTCTTGACTACCGATAATTTGACCAAGGCTCACTCGTATACGAAAAACCTTTCGGCTTCACTGCCGCTTCCTTGGCAACGAAGCTCGAATCACAGTCGACGTCGTCATCGGTCCTGATAGACCGATGCGAATATGTGCTCTCTTGTGGATACACATACAGGTTTTGACGACTCACGTAATATACGGGGTGCGTCTTCGTGTACGGCGAGAGAGCGATCCTGTAATTTAGGCTACCAACCTCTTCGACCACCGTAAGCTTAGAAAATCGGAAAGTATCTTTGTGATCACATTAGGTAGTACAAAAATTGCATTTCTAGGTAGAGTTGCAGTACTCAATAGCATTATATTCCCAGCACTAAAATGTTCATTATATGCGACTCTGATGATCCACATTTGTTGTTGCTTTTCCTGTGTGCTTGTCATCGCGTCATGGCGTTTGCGTGTGCCCTCAACCAAGACAATATTAATTGATTCTTACATCGTCGAAGGCGCCTATCTAAAATATTTTTGTCTTAATGGGCTGTGCCGCAGTCCGTTTATGAACGTGGGCACCTCAATTTGTTTCAGTATCAGACCTTAAGTAATAGATGCCGACAGTGAACGTATCTCCTGCACATACTCTTGCATGGATCGCTTCGCCTGTCGTGCTCCGAAGAAGAGCGCCTGAAGTAACACTTTACGTGTGTGGTGCAGTCCTTATTAAACTTCAGAGGGTCTTACCGAATGGGCCTCAGCTGAATAGACTGGGCAGAGAGCGTCTCAACAGTCCTGTCTAGAGCCTTATTCCAAGCCAGCTCACGCAAAAGCACATTCTTAGTCTGATTGATGGACTCAGCCGCAGCATGGCTTTGTGGCTCGGACGCGGATTTACGCTGTCCGAGCACAACGTCTCAAACGGCTCCAACTGATCAACATGTGCTAAATAGGACTACCTAAGAGATTTTCCAGGGCTTGTTCACCAAGTTTCTGAGCCAAATGCTCAGCCACCTCTCGATGATGTTTGAAGAGGTGAGAGGATTAAGCCCAATCGATGCTGAGGCTTATCCTCGCTCACACACTCGCTCAATGAGACGGGTCATGGAAAGGACTAGAAGTGCAACCAAGTGTAGACGGGTGCTTACAAGTTGTCTTGTGCTACATGCACACGCACCTTCAGCACAGATGAGGAAGTGGTTAGACTATCTTAGCCCTCGCGTGCTGTGGTGGAGATTGCCGGTCGCTGAAGCGACTCGTACAAGAGATGTTGGTTGCCAAAAGGCTCGTGCAACTAACTAATAAAATATACACTGAACGCGTCGCAGACGCTTTTGCCCGTCTTCCGAAGCGTAGTGTGTACCAATTGGAAAGTGAAGGACTAATTTATCTATTAGGAGATTAACTAGATATAAATTTAACAGATAATTGTTTAATGTATGTAATGATTTGTTGTGCATCTCTATATAAGCGCATCCCTACGCGGCGAGCTTAAATATATTCATACTCGCTGATGAAGTTCGTCTGTGGCGTCATCCTCTTTGATGTGAATACATCTGATAACTATTACATACACGAGGGTGGGTCATATTGATGTGATATAGGTCTAAAGTTCTCACGTACCTTTTAGACCTCCCCGTTATGTATGCAATACTTAGCGAGTACGTGTAACATATGGGCACATTTAGCCCGTAACAATTCCCCTGACTAAAGCCCAGACTAAAGCCCAGACTAAAGCCCAGACTAAAGCCCAGACTAAAGCCCAGACTAAAGCCCAGACTAAAGCCCAGACTAAAGCCCAGACTAAAGCCCAGACTAAAGCCCAGACTAAAGCCCAGACTAAAGCCCAGACTAAAGCCCAGACTAAAGCCCAGACTAAAGCCCAGACTAAAGACCCAGACTGCACGCCATGTTGTCAACTTGATACCGGCAAGAACCGACCGTATGAATTAATAAGTCTTCCAAAAGCGATTTTATTCGCACTAAGAATCGTTAACAGTAACTGCATCAGATTTTTTTGGTTGGACTGGGGCTGGCGATTTGTGATGACCACCTAAGTAAAGCAACGAGATACTGTAGTTGTTCTGCGGAAGACGCCCATGACTCCCGCTTCGTATTTTGTGTTCACCGAGTATGGAACATACCACACTACTTACTACGTTGGCGCATTTCAACTAGGACTAGGATATGAATGTTTGTTACAGCACCATGGTCAATCCGATAGAATGCCGTGCCTACCTATAGGTATCGTGAAAGCAAATTACGAAATAAAAAAATCCTTAGCGACAATATTGCGGCAAAACTAGTGTTTATCTCGCTTTGTTGTGGTCTTTTATAACCCGATTGGTACGAAGACGCGGAGGGTGCTGTTGATTTTGAACTGGAAGGTGGTACGACGTTGAAGCTACAACCGGATCAGCAGTTTCTACGAACCACATGATTTTTCAGTTGACCTGTCAAACATAATGTTGCTTCATCTTAAGAGGAAGACGCAGATCGTCGCTTTGTAACCCAGATTCTTGACTAGGAACAAGTACATATTCAATCGATAGCATTTAAAACATGAGTATATAAAACTATTAATAATTACACATGGTAGTATAATCGAGATCTTCGTCGTTTCTTATGAGTGGCTGTAGAAAGTTTATTACCGTACAGTTTTAGGCTCAGGTATAAGACCGCTATGGTATGTCATAAATCACAGGTCAAGCTGCGCCAACAAAACAAAATCTCTTATAGCAGAAGGCTGGAATATATACGCAATCTCGTACCTGTTGTAATCGATACGTCTGCAGTATTCGAACCTTAAAATATATAATTGCACAGGTCCTAGACTTTTGCCCTCACTTTTCGATCAGTCCGCCGCCGAGTCAGACGGGAAAACGCGGGCAAGCGACAGTCGATAGAGGTTGTCTCTCTCATTCACCACTGTAGAGTCCGATTTATTGATCTATAGACACAATGACACAGTATTCAAACACGGTAGACATTGCATCTCCAGTTGCATTCAAGTACAAACCGGCAGTTGGTGCCGACGCCCCCGGCCTCACGTGTCTAGGCGACCACGTGACCACGACGTTTGTGGCAGAGACGGCGCTGCCTACAGATAGCGGTGTATTCCGTGTACGCGCGTACCGCTCAGTAGGTTCGTTGCGTGAGAGTGAACCCATTGCGATGATTACGGGCGACGTGCGTGGCAAACACAATGTGTTTGTGCGTGTTCACGACCAGTGCTTTACATCGGAAGTCTTTGGTTCGCTCAAATGCGACTGTAAGGAACAATTGGACTATGCAAAGGTATGTATCCAGCAGCATGGAGGTGTCATTATCTACATGCCACAGGAGGGACGGGGTATTGGTCTTGCCAATAAGATCATGGCGTACTCTATGCAGGAGCGTGGGCTTGATACAGTGGATGCTAATCGTGTGTTGGGTTTCAAGGATGACTATCGCTCGTACGAGCCTGTGCCGACTATTCTTAAAGATCTGGGCATCCAGTCGGTTCGTTTACTGACTAATAATCCACGTAAAATCAGGCTGCTGAGTCAACTCGGCATTACTGTTGAGGGACGACAGCCTGTGGTGATCAAGGGTGGAGAATTTAGCCAAGGTTATTTGACAGCCAAGGCGAATCGGATGTCGCACTTGCTGCCTAGTATTCCAGGAACAGATGGCAGTGGTGAAGATACATCCACTGACGAAAGTCAGGACGAAGAGGAGCTGCAGATCGACCCTCAGGAAGCTGTAGCAGCCGTATCACTGACGACATTGTCGTCCTCGTCTTTTAGAAGCTATTAGCCAGCCCTTAAACTACCAAGGACTGCCATGTATCAGCAAAACTCGGTCGAGTGGACGCTTGGAACAGAAGGCCTGCCACGGGAAACTTCGATATCTTCGCGTGCAGCGCCCTCACTGGTCTTTATCGACCATCTTGTCCCAGGTCTGCCTCGTCAGCATGGTCGCTGGCCAGCTTTCAGGTTCAACATTGAGCAAACACAAGTGCTTGAATCTGAGCGAGTGGCATTTTTTTGTGAAGTGGGATCACTCGACCGAGACGGACAAGCTGTAGACTATTTAGCACGCCCAGTAACAGCGCATTGAACAAAACCTCATCATTATACAAAACTCAACGTTACCGGTACATGTCGGTATACCAAATGCAAACATTTTTATCCAATCCAAGAGTGCCAGTTAGAAATCTAATATCCTCCAATCGTGTCTCTCAAACGGCGTTTCCTCCCTTCAAAACTTATTCGTCAAAGGACGAGAACAAGAGCTCTGACGTACGTGACGCACCAGGTTTTGTGCCTTTGCATTATACCTCGTTAGTATCCTGTGACGCGAAGGACATCCCGCACATCATTCTAGTGGTTTTATCGCTTATAAACCGTTCGTAGCCGCAGAAAACAAGACAAAATGCTGGATGATAACCGCAAGATTGGTACTTTACTCCTGGGTCTGGGCTTTGCGTTCCTACTGCTGGGCGTGCTCATGATCTTTGATGCTGCAATGCTGGCGCTTGGCGATGTGTTGTTCTTAAGTGGCGTGGCGCTTACCATTGGCCTTACACGGACAGTGCGCTTTTTTACACGCAAGGAGCGGTGGCGTGGCATCGTGTGCTTTTTGGGCGGTATCCTATTGGTCATGCTACGTTACCCCGTGATCGGCATGATCATCCAGAGCTTCGGCTTTTTGAATCTGTTTGGATCGTTCTTTCCTGTGGCTGTGGCGTTCTTGCGTCAGACGCCTGTAATCGGGACTGTGCTGAATTTCCCAGTGGTCAGCGAGATTGTCAACCGACTAGCAGGAGTGCAAAAGCGCGGCTACCAGGTGTGATTGTCGGAATAAAAAAAGATAACGAAAGCAAGTGATAGACGTGACCGTGCAAAAGGGGTGATACTACAATGAGTGAGAGGGGTTTCTGGTCGTGATAATGAATCAATTGGCCCAACTGCATCGACACTTTTTCTTGTAAATTAACACAACCATGCCAAGAAATAGGTGCTCATCAGTATGTAAACTTTGTGTAATGTCTAGGTCTTTTGGCTCACCACGTCGTCTGCATTTACCACCAATCACATTCAACGAAGTTCACTCAGCCGTCACTCCTCCATTCGACATAGATTCGATATGCCCGCTAGCTTCTTTCGCTCTCTACGTGCCCGTGTAGCTGCCGTAGATTCGCTTTTATGCGTGGGTCTGGATCCACACGTGGCCGAATTACCAGAACCCACGGCTGCCGCCGCACAGGCCTTTTGCATGCATCTCATTGAGCAGACGCATCATGTCGCAGCTGCTTATAAACCCAATTCGGCATTCTTTGAAGCCTTTGGTGCCGAAGGCATCACGGCTCTGCATACTGTAATCAAGTCGATTCCTGAGGGAATTCCCGTTCTTCTAGACGCCAAGCGCGGTGATATCAGCACCACGGCAGCTGCTTACGCTGTCTCGGCCTTTGACAAGTTGGAAGCACACGCCATCACGTTGGCCCCGTACATGGGCCAGGATTCCATCGATCCATTTGTACGTGGTCGTCCAGAGCGTGGCTGTTTTGTCTTGTGCAAGACCTCAAACCCCAGTGCCAATGACTTTCAAACGCTTTCCATTGGATCACGCACGTTGTTCGAAGAAGTCGCAGTCAAATGCGAGCAGTGGAACTCTGAGGACAATGTAGGTCTTGTTGTTGGAGCTACGGACGTTGATGCACTTCGTCGTGTGCGTCTTGTGACGCCCAACTTGTGGATATTGGCACCGGGGATTGGTGCACAGGGTGGCAATTTGGAGGAAGCGGTGACTGCCGGTCTGTCGGCGGATGGACTTGGTCTGCTAATACCCGTCTCTCGTGGTATCTCCAAGGCGGCTGACCCTAAGGAAGCTGCTGAGTCTTTGCGTGATGCCATTAATGTTGCTCGAAGGAGTAAGGTGGCTTCTGCTATGACGATTGTGACCAACTCGACTGCCAACGACTTCATTAAGTTTGCATTGTCCTTTGGTGTACTTAAGTTTGGTGACTTCACTTTGAAGTCGGGACGCCAAAGCCCGTACTTTTTTAATGCCGGTCTGTTTCGTACGGGCCGTGCACTTGGCCAACTCGGCAAGTTCTACGCACAGGCTATCCATGTACGTAGAACGGAGGAGTTGTTTACCTGTGGCTGTTACTAATAGTAATGTGTTTCTTTTATATTTCTACTTCGCATTTCAGGACAGTGGCGTGGAATTTGACGTGCTCTTTGGCCCCGCCTACAAGGGTATCACTCTAGCAGCAGCTGTATCCATCGCGTATGCTGATATGTACGACGTCGATCTTCCCTTTGCGTACAACCGAAAGGAAGCTAAGGATCACGGCGAAGGCGGTGTACTTGTTGGTGCCGACATGACGGGCAAGAAGTACGTCATTGAGATTGCTGCACCTGCTTTTATCTTTAGTGTGTCTAATCTGTTTGTCCTGTTTTATACAGGGTTCTTATCATCGATGACGTGATCACCGCCGGTACTGCGATTCGTGAAGCATTTGCCATTCTGAAGAAGACAAATGCACACGTGTCGGGTGTTTGCATTTCACTGGATCGTCAGGAAAAGGTTTCAGTGGAGGATACACGTTCGGCTATTGACCATGTGAAGGAGAATTTTAACATCCCCGTTGTCAGTATCGCCACACTCGACACCCTCGTGAACTTTCTTGAGACAGTGGATCCAGCCACTGACGCTAATGCTTCATATTTGCCAGTTATCCGTGCATACCGTGCCGATTACGGCGTGTCGAAGCAGTAGTAAATTGCGGCGTCCCAAATAAACTTGTTGACCATCTAATTAAAGCCTCTATATAATGACATGATGTCATTCCCCACATACTCCTAATCTCCACGAATCAACTCATCTTATATGATGTTTTTATCCAATCCAATTGCTTCAAAACGCTGGACCCAATCGAGCGGTTCTGACATTGTAAGAAGCTCTTCCCAATATGTTCCAGCGTCGCGTGATTGCTAGCATCAATACCTTGGAACGTGTGGCCAGTAACCGCCAGATCCGTCGCAAGACACGTCATCCAGCCAATTTACGTGCGTTGCAACGTCAGCCTCAAGAGGAGGTCATTGTTCCACCACTCAAGTATGAGCCTACGTATGTCCCAGAAAAAGTGAGCTTTAACGGCTGGTCGCCAGCTCCCAAGACGGCATTACCGGGTCTGCCCTTTCACGTGAAACGCACAGCATTGGGACTGCAATTGCCAGTGTACCGAGACTATAGGAACGGTCGTACGCGAGTACTGACGATCCTTCGCCGTTATAAAGGTGACGAGCAGGAGCTACGCGACGAGATGTCCAAGGTGTGTGACGGCAAAGAGGTGATTGTACGTCCTGGTCGCTTAGAAGTCGTGGGAGATCACGCTAATGATATCCGCAAGTGGCTCGTGGGTCTAGGCTTCTAGACAGAAAAGTAAGGAAGGACGTCCTTAATAGAGTTCGTCAAAGATGGTCATTTTTTCATTAGCAGGAAGAGACTTCTTACTCCGTAGAATTTCGTGTCAATGGTGAAAAGCTTTTTTTGGGTGGTTCTGGCTGGTGTCAAGTTATTACAGAGAGTGCATACCGTAAACGTCAGCGACGACGTTGTTAAGAATGTCGGAAACGCTGACGTCGGAACAGGCCACAAGGATCAGGTCCTTTTCGATCGGTAAGAAGTATGGAAACGTCGTGCGATTCATCGAAATGTTACACAGCGTTGCGACTGTGATACGAGCAGCTTCAGGCTAGAAATGTAGAAACAAACATATGCGACGTTAGCGACAGATATGCACCGTTTCGACTTGGCTTAGCTGCACGTACCCTTCCGATACACGAGAGGAGCGATCCTGCTAGTCGCCGCATGCATGTTGGGTGTTGTGCCATTCGTAGCTTGGTAGCATCGTCGTAGTCTGACAAACGGAATAGCACCTCCAGTGCGGCATCACGCATTTCATGATCCAGTTGGCTTGCAACATCGTCAAACGCTACTGCATGAGTCGACGAAGTCGTGTGGCGAACGCCTTCGGGGCTTACGTACACCACGCCCATGCCGACACCTGACGGCAGTCCGTCATTCTCCCATGGTGCCGGCCACCTACTGTTGTCATCTCCGTCCGTCTCATCGTCTTCATCGTCAGAGTCTTCCGCATCCATTTCATAGTCTGCCTCCGTCGGAAATCCGTGTGCTGGCTGCTGCTGCCTTTTGTGCTTTGGCCCCCGGGGAAGAAATTCTCTGTCGCGAGCACCCTAGCAACGCTACCACGTAGTTAAGCAAAGCAGGATCTTGAAGAGCCTCACTTGATGAAAGATACTTCTTAATAGCGACGTCGCGGCATACGTTAGTAAGCAGTTCGCACGCACGTAGTACCACTGACCGACGCTGCTGCTGGAGTTCGCGACCGACTAGGATACGGCGTAGCTCACGGAGAAGACATTCAAGCGGGAGCACACGTTCTTTCTTCCACAGCTGCGAACTCAACTGGTACTGTGGGTGCCATATTTCAAGCGAAACAGGCGGATGAAGTGCTAGGAAATCAATGCGCTTTGATATGGCGCACAAAGTGTCGAGCACATGGTCGCCAATATTTACGGCAGCTCGAGATCGTCCTCCGCGGAAATTGCGCGCGTCGCTATTATTCACGTAACGCAGCGCCATAATAAGAAACACGGACAATTCATCGTGCGCAGCAATAGGCTTTTCATTTGCGCCGACAATAGCCAAATTGCGCAGGATATTCAGCACCATTAGAGCAGTCGAGTCCAATAATTCCCGTTCACCGTCATCAACTCTCAAATTCAGCAACCTTCTGCGTGTCTCTTGTTCTTTTTCCACCACCTTTTCATCGGGCAGTAACTTGCAAAGCACTAACTGCCGATACAGTGCATCTAGTAATCCAGGAACATTATCCACCAGCAACTCATTCTCACGTGCCGTAGCGTTTGCATTAACCGTTGCAGTCGACAACACAGCAGCATTCTGCTGCTGCTGTGCAGCACCTCCTCCTGAAGCGTCTCCATATGACAGAATTGTCAATAAATTCAACGCTGACATCACTTGCTCTGGGATCTCCGAGTCCAGAGCCAGCACAATATTGTGCAGTGTACCAAGGTGAGTCTGAAGTTCTCTCTGTGTCTTGAATCTCTTACTAGCTCGTGGCAATGGAGTTCCACTCACACCGCTCTGTGCATCTTGTAGATCTTGTATAGTAGCCAATGGGGCTTCCATCTCTCCTGTCTCCTCTTGAGCTCGACGTTTAGCAGGTAAAACACTCATCGTCATCGGGAGATCTCGTCCAAAGAGCTGTTTTTCCTCAAATGGACGTAAAATATGGTCATAATGAGCTGCTAATTGATACGGCATCATTCCTTTGATATTCAATCCACCATGTCTAAGAATCTCGGTCCATTGTTGACGTTGAGAGACAATCGTAAAACCTCCACGTGCCACCACTTCTTCATACAATTTCAACCAATCAATAGCAGCCCCTGATGGACTTTTCGGCAGGTTTTGAAGGCGAGACACCTCCTGTCGACCTTCTAGAAACGTCACCCAATCTTGTAGAATATTCTCACGTCCAGCATCACCTCGACACGTGAGCTGAAGAGCCAAGACCGCTTCCTTTGACGTCATTTTGTCCGAATAACCTCAATTTGATTTGATAAAATCAATCGAATATTCTTATTGGTTGAAAAGCTCAACTCGATGCAAGTTGAAGTTCAGGACGTCTCGTCTCAGATTCTTGGTCGGTCTCAGTCATAGAAAGTACGTGACAAGGACCCAGAAATGAACGACTGCAGTGACGTTGCCACCATGTTTAGTTCCAAGCACTCAGCGCGTATTTTATTGCAACATCGTAGTAGTGTCAGTAGTGTTGATGGTGACACGGAAGCGCGCTCGTTATCTGATGTTGAAATTGATAGAGACTTGTCTTGCAAAAAAGACAAGTCTCTAATGCCTGGTGTAGCTTTAAATCAACATGTTAACGTAGTGACAACTAGTTTAAGCCTTGAAGAAGTAGAACGACAACTTGCAGAACTTGATAATGCTCGAGTCATTACAAAGGAAGAGATTAACGACATGTTGGCAGAACAATTAGATGAATTTGAAAGTAGTGATTCCGACGACAGTATTGATTCTTCATCGAGTGACGAGGGTGAGAAAGTGATTATGAAAGTATTGATCATTGGTAATGCACGTTGTGGAAAGACAAGCACGATTCGACGGTTTACAGAGGACGAGTTTCATGAGGAGTATGTGAGTACAATTGGAGCGGACTTTGTCGAGAAGATCATTCAGTATGACGATCAACTTAGTCTTAGCTTGCAACTTTGGGATATTGCTGGACAAGATCGATTTGCCAAGTTTACACGGGGATATTTCCGGGAAGCAAAAGGAGCTGTCATTGTTTGTGATATCACTCGAGCGAATACGCTCGATGCGGTGGTGAATTGGAAAAAAGAGATTGACACGTGCTGTAAGGACTTGAACCAAGGCACGGAGATACCTGTAGTGATGATTGCCAACAAGAGTGACTTGTTGATTGATCCCATGGGTGCGTTGGATCTTGGTGTGAGTATGCAAAAGTGTGTGGACAAGAACAACATTGTGGAGTGGTTCCGTGCGTCGGCAAAGAGTGGCGAGCACATTGACGATGCTTTTCGGTGTCTAATAGACCGCATGGTGGAAAACCATCGCGCTGAGAAGGAAAAGGAAAAGGAAAAAGAGAAGGAGAAGGAAAAGATTGACGATGACACCGCGAAGAAAGAAGAATCACCCGCACCCGAGATTATCCGGTTGTCCCGGATGCCACATCAGCACAGAGCTGTCAAGCAACATGGCGTTGCCTGTGACTGCAACTAGAGACGACGTCGACTATTGTAATCGTCTCTTTTTTATGCTGACCAAGTAGGAGCGACTCGTAAAGATACTCACAGGTTGATACCGTTGCTTCACCCAAAATGCAGTCCCCACCTTATTTGATTTCATAGCATTATCTAGCAGCACGACCAGATAATTCACTTTCGCGTGCTTACCGCATATGTCGCGTTTCCTTGTATACTACTTCTTTTAATGCTTGGAGCATCACCCGTTTACGGTCGCGGGCGTTTGCGGCGCACCTCGGCAGCCAAAGTCGCCGTACTATGCAAAATTTCTTTGCCTTCGGACGGGCGCTCAACGAAGTATGGATCCAGGTCTACAGCAAAGCGTCGAATTTTCTGTGAGGCCTCGTCGATCTTCTCGTCTGTCGTAAGCGCAAAGATCTCAACGAGCAGTGCTTCAACTCGAAGATTTTCTAAGTCCACCAGGCGGTATTCGTCCTTTTCGTCTTCATTCTTCAACTAAACGGATGAGAACACACCAGAGCGAGTTTCATTAGATGTGTCACTAAGCCAATGCATTTTTCAACATCTCGTCCCTTACCGCTTTCATTCGCGTAGCTTCAATCGTAATTCCGTTGGAAAATTGCCACCTCGTTCCAAGACGCATGTACCTGTAGCTGTGTCTGTCCTCATCCAGCAACATTTACACAGCGTAGGCTCGGTGAAAGGGAGAGGTCAATAAAATCCACATTGTACTCTACCGAAAGCCGAGCGTGCCCAGGAAGGAGCGTACATTCTGCCCGACTGACACCGCAATCTGGCTGCGAAACGGAACGCCAAGAAGAGCACTGCCTCCATGCTCCGACATTTTCTTACGTTCCCAACGTCCAATGTACCTTAGTTCCCTGCCAAAAGTCACCAAAAAGCACCAACTCAGCGCGCTATCTACCACTAAAATACCACGATAGAGCTCACCACTTCTGTCCTCCATCAGATGGCATTTCAACAGCTTCACCCTGAAAAGTTGTAGACCCTGAGAATACATGACGAGCTCGAATTTCGTAATGAGGTACGCCTTGGATATACTGCGGACACTTCTCATCAAAATTGTACACGTATTCTTTGTATGCAATGTCCTCCTGCAATAAGATACAATTAATTAGTTAGTAGTTCATATTGATACATAGTAACGTCTATACAGATTACATTCCATGTACCTTCACTACGCTCTCGTCACAAAGACCTCCAAGGCGTTCGACAAAGGACGGAAAATGTTTAAAGTTCTAGGGTCAATTTTGACCCAAATACAACGATATTCAACCACAAAAATTTGTCAGCATCTTTTCCATCATCTTCTACACAACATTTTTCCTATTATTTTGCACTAAGACCCACCACTTCCCCCTGTAAAACACACTCGAAACACTTGCCCGCTCTCGCCATTTTTATCCAAGTGTCTTCAAATGTTCAATAATCTTTTTGATTGGTTGAAATACTCTATCACATGAGTTGTAGAAACAAAAATATAAGCGGGAGCTCAGTCATTGGTTAAAAAGCAGCGGCCTGTGAGCCTTTGACTATTCTATTGACAAAAATGGTATGGAACCGTATCAAGTTTCCTAATATGGCAGTGGCGTTTATGGGCAAGAATGCACGTACACGACTACGTGAGAATCAATACGTCTTTCGTGTGGAACCACACTATACAAAGCATGAGATTAAGGAGTACTTGACTAAAGTATACGATCTACCAGTGGTCAAAGTAAACACGATGAATTACGAAGGTGACGTTCATTAATAGCTACAGTATTGATGCTTTAGCATACAATTAACAAGTACTTATTGACAATTGACAGGCAAGTTTAAGCGTGCATTTCGTGGTCGTTATGTGTACAAGGAAAAGGACTGGAAGAAAGCCATTGTGACCCTAAAGGCGTAGCTTAGGCACTAGCTTTAGAACATCTAAGAAGAGTCAGTAGATACAATAAACCTCTTGGTGCCTGGAGACGGAGCTGAGCTGTTGTTCGTCGCTTGATGTCATACGACTTGTTTGACTTATTGTTGAGGCGGAAACATCCTAATATTAACATGGTCATCAATGCAAACAAACACACACTCGACTGCTTGATGTAATACCTGGCGTACTAAATGTACCGCGATCTCTTTAGAAAAATTACGCTCCTTGATGCAAAACCTATAGGACACCAAAGACAGCGTCGGCTACTGACAGCCTCAAGCATCAAGCGTCGACGACAACAACCAACTCGTGGTAGATATCCAATAGACACTTCAGATTTTCTCAATGCCACGAATTAGTTGGCACTGTGTCAACGTCAAGCCTCCGGCTCCTTGCGTACTTCTTAATCTTGCTGACTAACGTCCTCAAAGTTGTCCACAAGATCCGGGACCTCGTCATCATCGTCGTCAGCAGCAGCGGCCTTGGCGGCCTTCTGAGCAGCCGTATACGACTCGGCAATTTGCTTCAGGTTAGCAAGATTGTCCGAGCCCAATTGGTTGATAATGCCCGGCAAAAGCTCCTGTAGCGACTTGGTCTGGTTGAAACCACTGACAGCAAACGTGTTGGATGCAATCGACGCTTGGACCTTTGGGCCCTGAAAATGAATAACCTGTCCATCAGCTTTAAAGAGGTTCACTTCTTCAACACCAGGAATTGGAGTGACGCCCAATTTCTTCAACGTCGCCCCCAACTTCTTGTCATCAGCCGTCGCGGTCTTGTGAGCAGCTTTATGTTTTCGGCGTACTGAACCTTTACCGCCCGTACGGACGTCACCAAACTTGGCCGCAAGGCGTTCACGCGCAAGAGTAATAGCAGCATCAGCCATATTTCTACATATATATCAATTATTAAGTTAAACAGATAGCAAATAAGGTTAAAACTTAGCATTTTAGCCATTTATCTCCCTAGCCAAGGAGAGATTCATGAAAGTAACAGCAGCATGGTTTGTATAAAAGAAGCCAAATACTGCTAGAATTTCATGTAACAATCCTGTAACTAAAGAGAAAGAGAATTGCATGGATGTATAGCAGCCATGAACGTAAGAACGCACCTTTACAGTAAAAAACTGGAGTAAGTTCGTAGACCAGGCAAAAAGTGAGAAGACTTTGTGGTTGTGAAGAAGCTAATTCGTCGATTAAATCAGGGTGAGAAGTGCGATATACCTCTGATTTGTAAGCAACGAAGCGGTCGACAAGTAACTCCTTTTAACGTGTTTCAGCTGAGACGTTCTCAGCCAATGGATGAATATAAGACAGCGGATTGACTGAAATTATGTATAGTTTCTACCAATAGGACGGATTGCAGAAATACTGTCAAAATCAATCGACTTGGTATATCGATTTTCACAAAACAGAGCAAACCCCATGGACCAAAATGACTTTCGGCAAATGCTAGCAAGTCGTAATAAGCCACATAGCAACAAGCACAGATACGGAGGCAAGCGGAATTTAACAGATACAGACCTTGAAGATATCAAAAAGCTATCGGCAAAAAAAGCGAAGAAAAAGGGCAAGAAACCAAAGAATGCAGAGCTTTTCAATGAAGCTGAGATGGGGCATCATCTGCCTAAGAATTTGTATCGAGATCGAGCAGCCGAGCAACGCATAGGAGATACGGGCGATATGATTGATGCAAAAGAGTACAAGCATTTAGATACAGAGCAGAGCAAGTTCTTAGGTGGAGATATGGAACATACGCACTTGGTTAAGGGATTGGACTATGCTCTTTTGGCTCAATTGAAGCGAGAGAAGCAAAAGTTGATGAAGGAGAAGCCAAAAAAGGTAGAGAATAAAGATGTTGGAGCGCGAAAAGTGGAGACAATGAAGCCACGGGATGGCAGACTTACGTTCAAGTCACGGATGGGGAGACTGGTGTATTTCCACGCGTGTCAGAGCACGCGGGAGACGATCAAATCGGTCAAGTCAGAGCTCTTTCTACCTGGTAGGATGTACTACACATTCAACTTGTCGACGACGGAGATGGAGAGTGTTCCTGTGAGTGTACAGAGGAGTAAAGAGGATTTCTTGGAACCAGATGATGTGGTTAGTGGAATCGTTGACGTGTCGCTGATTGAGCGAGTGCAGGAGCTGATGATCAATAAGAAGAAGAGCAAAAAGGTGCGGAAGAAGGAGGCTATGTGTCATCTTAATAATGGTAGAGAGAAGACGAGTGGCTACATCGGTGAAGAGCAGGATGTTAGAGATGAACCTATGGTTCAAGTCGACATTGGAGCTGCTGCTGTTGACGACGACGATGATATTTTTCCTGATGTGGGCGAGTACCTTCCGATGGATCAGCGTTTAGATGATAAACCACCTATAATACCGAAAAAGGAGATTGTCAAGCAGACAGGATACTTTTCAAACCTGAGCGCCTCCATTACTGAAAAGGAGGAAGCAGTTCGGAAGAAAGAGGAAGACGCAGAGCGTGCTTGGAAGAAAAGATTGGAGAAGGCGATGAAAAAGCAGAAAGAGATTGATCTAGAAAAGAAACGTAAAGCAAAGGAGGTCAAGATGACTGGTGAAGCGGACGACTACGCAGAGTACCAGGGCATTAGTGCGCTGGTAGACAGCGACGACGAGGACGACGAAGAAACGGCAAGACGTCGCAAGGCAGCAGGACTTACTGACCGTAAAAAATCCGATTATGGTTCCGAAGAAAAAGCCCGTCGTAAACAGCAGAAGCTGAGCAGTAAGCTTGCGAATGACCTCGAGAAGATCAACAAGGTAAGAAACTGCTTATGTACAATTATGGAGGTGAACTCTACTAATACCAATTTTTTGTCGTGATCAGATCATGGACGACAAAATGAAATCTTAAGCTTTGTATATTATTCTATCATTATAATTGTATCCTCATAGTCGTCTTGCTAAACAAGTTCATGCTGCAAAAAAAGAAGTTATAAATGTGTCAACTGTTCTTTACAAGGAGAAGAATAGTCTTGTCTTTGGGCCAGATATCCATCTGTATCTGATGCATGTAGCTTCAACTACGAGTATACAAACCTTAAGCTTATTTTCATCCCACTTCGACGTTATTTTCGTATCCATTACGTGTCGACCACACAATCTTATTTGTGAAGCCATTATCATTCGTCAAGAAGATGGCGAAAATGATGAAACTTTACGCTATGATATCGCTGGCGACGACAATCTTAGCAGTCTGTACTTTAGCGGAAAAGAAAGAAGACGACGAGTTAATCTTGGGACTGCTTACTCCTAAATGTTTTGAGACTTTTGTGACTCAGCACGACTTTACCAATGTCCAGTGTTTTAAAAGTATTATCAGTAAGATATTGAGCTATGGTATCATTATGGGCAGTTTGATCCTGAAATTACCACAAATTCTCAAGATTTTAGCAGCTAAGGACGTTACGGGCCTTACACCGAGTGCTTTTTACATGGAAGCAGTGCTTTATTTGTCCAGTACCATCTACAATTTGTTACGTGGCTATCCATTGACCACGTGGGGTGAGAACCTGGTGATCCTGGCTCAAAACATTCTTCTAGTGCTGCTGTTATGGATGTTTTACACGCCTAAAATCCCAGTATCGACTCGGTTTGGATTTGTGCTGGTATTTGCTGCTATGGCGATGGGAATGCTCTCCATCCCGGAAGAATTTCAGTGGCTGCTGGCATCAGCGGGGATTCCCGTGAGTATTGTCGCTCGTATTCCACAGGTACGGGAAATTTGTTGTTGTTGCAATTGGATAGTGGAGGGAACTGTAGAGAACTCATAATGATGTGTACTGGTGATGCAGATCTTGTCCAACTTCAAACAGGGTCACACGGGTCAGTTGGCCCTTGTGACGTTAGTGCTTAACTTTGCTGGATCAGTTGCGCGCTTGTTTACTACGATGCAGGAGACGGGTGACCCGGTGCAAGTTGTAGGCTTTGGTGTGGGTATCCTGCTTAATTGTACGCTCGTGGTCCAGGTGCTGATGTTCTGGGGAGCTACCAACAAGGCTCTTGTTCAGGCGTCCAAGAAGAAATCCCAGTAGTAGCAATGTATGACGAGAGGCTGCTGCTTTGCCATAATGCATCTAATTGTGCTGCTGAGAGTCAGATGATTGCCCAGCCAATTTTCGTTGTCTCTAGTGACCTTCTGCTTCTCTTACCAAGCACCACAAAGTAGCCAAGAGTATGTACCACTTGCTTTCTTCCTGATGATGTTTACTAAACCGCAGTAGACGGGTGACACGGTACAGGTTGCTACTCCAGCTTAGTTATTCTAGTAAAACGGTATGCTCGTGCTTCAAAACCGTTTCCCTGGGCAACAAGGTGCTTCCTACTGAAGATTGATGAAAAGCGAGAGATATCCGATGAACAGCGAGAGAGATCTGAATATCCGTAATTCAAGCCGCCGCTTTCGTAGGTGTTGGTATGCTGTTCTGTACCAAGCCGTGCTGTTGACCGTCCTTCTCTTCAACACATGCTTTACCCTGCGCACTTCCATTAGCCTGCTCTTCTTCTTTTTCCTCCGCCTCACGTCTCATCCTATCGATCTTTTGTTGTTGCATACTGATTCTTTTCTTGGGCTTGGGCTGATTAAAGATTCGAGGAAAATCTAACGTATTCAAGAACGTGATTGTCTTGGGTGCGTCCAATTTGCTATAATATCGCACCATTCTCCCTGTAAATGGCACTTTAGGTGCTACACTCTCTGCCTTCTTTTCTTCCTCCAGCTGCTCCAATCTCTGCAATGATTGCGTATTCTCTACCTCTGTCCTCACAGCTTCCGCCAACAATTGAGCCTGTGTCAATTGATTGCCCGTCTTTTCCACCGTCCCTTTCTTGTGTTTTGCAGCCACTTTTGCCGCGTCCTGTGACGCTCGTCGTCGTATTTCTGATGACATGGATGACTTTTGGGCCGTTGAAGACCTCCTTGTAGGCGCCACATATTGATAAAGTGACGTCAAAGAAGCAGTAGCTGCTCCTGGAACATTAAAACCTGTTGTTACAGTTTTCCGTTTGATTGGTCGAGATTGAACTGGCTCTTTGTATCGTCCTGAATTCACCGTGGAACGTTTACGTTTTATGGATTTTTCGTCTTCATCAACATCGTGTACGTCATCATCTGGAGCTTCTTCGTGGTCAAAATCTGAGTCGGCAATGTCTTCTTCCTCTATAGTAACGATAAAACGTAGTGAATTAGTACTAAAACGTAGCAAGTTAGCATAACATTCTGTTAAGTACGAAAACACCTGCTTCAGTGGAATAATCCTCGTCTTCACCGTCTTCCTGCCAAGCTGATTGCCCCCAGAATGATGCATCTGCTTCAAACTCCTCACCAATGAGCTTATGGATACGACTACCACGAGAACTGCGAGCTGGGAGTACTTTGCGAGTCTCTGTGTCGTCAGAAGGACTGGAACTGCGACGGCGAGGGCGACGGGATGGCATGCTGGATTTTATGCTCGGGATAGTGGGTTAAATCGTATATCCTTTTGGAAAAAAACCATGTTACCCTTGTATAGAGAGACTGACCAATAGAATAACCAGTATTTGAACGATAAATAGAAATTTGAAACTAAAACAAGGCAAATTTTGTATATATTTTTCTTGCACTCGGTAATTAATCGTAAAGCGAATAACATGTTTACATGTATCAGCAAGTGGTAATCTATGTATCCCAGTATTACATAATGTCTGCTTTTATCTTACGATTTTACCAGCAGTAGTATGAAGCCAAAAAAATGTAATGCTGCAAGTAGTCGACGCCTAATTAGTTTATCATCGTTTCTTAGACTTTAGTCCATACTGTCGACTACGTTCGTACAATACATACATCGCTTCTATGCTAATAGAGGGAAGCGCAAACCTTTATTCGCTTTTAAGACATACGATCAAGTCGTAAAATAAAAATTCCATTGCGACGTCAGGAATATCGACGAACGTCTAATTTTTTGCGCCATGTGACCGTAGAGTCGCGACAGAACTCCGACATCTTTTTGGCCGCATTCGTACGGATTGATTGGATCACGACGTGACAAGGCAGTAGGAAGATCCCACGTCCAAGGTCGGTATTGTCCACACAAATGCGTTCCAACTTCATTTCCAAGTACCACTTCCAGCCAACACTATATCAAATATCTCAACGGTACATCATGCACAATCAGCTTTAAGACTACAGGTTCAGTCCTTCTCAATGCGTATGCGTGTCAATTTCGCACGCATTTAAACGGAGCTCGACGAGCCGACAACCGGAAGGATAACGATTCGAAAAAAGCTTAACTCTTAGAATCAAACTACATTGTTCAATTCTGTTTGCCCCGTAGTTATCGAAAAAACGTCACTGCATTTACAATAAGAGTTCTTTCAGTCTTGTTGACCAGCAACCGTTTGATCCAGTGGTATATTGTGCAATGGGTTTCGTGCTTCAGGCTCGAAGATGGAAGAAAAAGACAGCATCAGTACTTGATACTAAGATGCTTCATGAAAACCACTTTCGACCAGTGCAGGGAATAGTTCTTCTGTATATGTCGCTACCTCAATTGATGGATCGGATGATCGGATGCTGCAAAGTACAGAGGAGGCAGAATCGTCAATGTTCACCTTCAAGCATGAAGACGACAATTGCAGTGTTGTTGCTGATTCAGAGAGTGGCAGGACAATCATGCGGACTCACAGAAATGACCTTGTCGACAAATTGCAACGATGCGTGTTCGCAGTACGAACCGTGCTTGGTCTATAGTGCTTCGATGTGTCCTTCTGGAGCTTCGTGTGTTACTAGCTCTCAGTGTGCGATCCAGTGCTTTTCTGAGCCGTTGAATGATTCAAATACTTTCACGATTTTGATCAAGTTCGGAGCATACGAGAGCACTCAAAAGAAAACGAGGACAGAGAGCACCTTGTTATCGTTTGAGAAACTGGGTGATTTCATTCCTAATGAGACTGACACGTACGCGTCGATCAGCAACGATGCAGTCTCCAGTATCAGTACAATTGAACTCCAGCCGACAGCGACCTCATTGTCAGTGCTAGTCGGGTGGATTTCAAATTCAAGATGTGACGTCGGTGGCTGACGTTGATCTTGTTGTTGTGTTTGGGATGTGACAGCATGGTGGTGGGAGGTACGAGCATCACGTCATCGTTAAAGAGCAAGGTGGCCAAGGTGACCTTTGGCTCCGACGTCATCTCCACACAGACGAACGTCACGAACGTGGTGCTGAACAACCTGGATTTAGCAACTTCTGCTATGCTCCAGCAACTGCCTTTCGTACTGCCAACTACTTTGCATAAGCTAAGTCTCGCCAACACACTGCTTACAAATTTTCCAACCATGGTGGCCAATTTCACCAGCCTCCAGAGCCTGTAAGGAAACACTTTGGGTTGTCTGGGTATTGAACTTCACAAACTAACACGTCTTGTGTTGATAAGCAGTGACCTGGCCATGAACTACATCACCGAAATCGTCGCAACGGCAGCTCTAAATTCCCTTGTGAACATGTACGTATAATCGCCTACAAATACACACCTGACAATCCTCTCGACTTACATCTGATGTCCGTGTGGTCATCCATGTGCAGGAATTTACATAGCAATAACCTCAACAGCTTTCGCGCTGTCTTTCCGAATCTTCTTTCGCTGGATTTGACGGACAACAACTTCACAGATACCCCGCCTAGCATATATATCCATTACAGTCTAAAAGAGCTGCGGATGAAAGGAAATCCTTTGGCTTCCCCGTGGTTTACACGACATCAGGTGGACTTTTTGAGCAAGCTCACGTTTCTTGATCTCGAAAACTCGGACTTCACGAAATCCATTGACGGCTGCAGCTCGGCTAACCAGCGCAAAGTACATGCACTGACTGTTTGCATTTCGGACAGTATGGACGATGATGATGCCACGACATCATATGTGTTTGCCACTGTGGGTGCCATCGTGTGTGGCATCTTGGTCCTCAGTATCGTGACGTTCGCCGTAATCTGGATATACAGGAGACAAGTGCGGCCTTCAAAACACCATTCGAAAATTGTTAACGAGTCTTACTTTGGTGGTCTATCACCACCTCTTGCTCGATCTCCTGTCGATAAGGGATACCGTGGAGGCCGTCGCACGCCTGTTAGTGGAGGGCCAAGATTTTGCTCGAGTGATTACGAGGATGATGGCAGCACTTATTCACCTCGAATTTCGACTCGTAGTACGCATAGCAACAATAGTTCGACTGCGTACTCACTTTGGAACGATGAAGAATTGCTGTCATTGCAGGTGAAGTATGATGAAATTGAGGACATTGGTATCATCGGCAGCGGAGCGTGCGGTATCGTTTGGCTTATCAAGTACCGAGGATCTCAGTTATTAGCGTCTAAGCGACTTCGATCTGACCAGATCACAAAGCAGCGTACGCAAGCATTCATCGAGGAGATCAAAATGGTATCTCCTTTTAATCACCCGAACGTTGTTCGTCTTATTGGGTGTGCATGGACAATCGAGACTGATCTACAGGCGCTGTTTGAATACATGGAAAATGGTGATCTCCGTGATTATTTACTCGATCCGAGTTCACCTCGTCATTGGAGTCAGGAGTTATTGCAACTGGCGGTGGATATCATTGAAGCACTCGTATATATGCATTCATTCACGCCTCCGCTGGTGCACCGTGATCTCAAGTCTCGCAACATAATGTTGTCGGACGACATGAAAGCCAAAGTGACCGATTTTGGTGCGTCAAGGTATAAGTCGGTAGACGAAACCATGACTGCAGCTGTTGGTACGGGCCGGTGGTTGGCACCAGAGGTGATTTCAGGAAGTAGCAAATACGACCAGTCTGTTGACGTGTTTTCATTCGGAGTTGTGTTATCTGAAATGGACACACACACGATCCCGTACGACAACGTCCGCAGCACGAACGGCAATCGCTTAAACGACATAGCCATTCTTCAGTTCGTGGCGAATGGCCAGTTACGTCCAAAATTTGGTGCAAGCTGCCCACCAGAGCTGCGCATACTGGCTGAACGATGTTTTGATCAGGACCCACAAAAGCGTCCGCCAGCGCATGTTGTGGCATACGAGCTACGAGTCATCCAACGCTCACACTACATGCAGCTCTAAGTAGCGAGTGCTGTTTTGAGTATAGAGTAGACCATCAGTATAGGTCAAGTGTTGCTGGAAACGGGCTGGGGACGACAAAAGCTCTAGAGATCGTCAGTGTAATTATCAATATCATTAGCTATGAAGTAGAAGAAGCATTCCTATTGTTTGAACACATTTCAAAGCAAACCATCAGCAGTGACTTCTGGATCGAGCCAGCGACCAGTTCTGACACCACTTGTCACGTCTCATCAACAGAGCGTAGTCTCGCTACATCCAATGGTCTCACAAATCTCAGATAACAATACATTGCGTGATTGCGTTACACAGTCAAAGTCGTGAATGAAATGCATGTAATCTAACGCCTCGGTGATATCACCTGCAAGCTGTAGCTTCTCGACATTTCAATGTTTTCACCTTATCTGAATGTCTCAAGGTACACTTGAAGATCTCCTTTTGATTGAACATTGCTTGTATGTCGTCGTAAGGGTCTAGCTAAACGTAACTATGAGCAATGCGCGGGTGATCTGAAGTGGCGTACAGATATTTGGTACGAGCTGAATGAGTTAGTGCCTTGGACAATTGATTACCGATTCTCGTCTAAGAATCTAAACCATGTCTTGACTATGACTGTTCAATGGCGCTAAAAACACTTAGGAAACAGGAAGTCGATATACGTGCAACTTCCATTTTCGAAAGAGAGGAAAGCTATCCTGGAAGTAACAGCTGAAAGGAAGGTCTTATATTGATGTAGTGGGATTATATGAGAAGGCTGCGTCTTGCGGCATTATAAGCACTTGTGGAGTTTATCGAGCATAGATTACAGCGATGCTAGCTCATCTGTTGTGAACACCACATATCCCAGCGCACACCCATCGATATGACATTCATTTCATCAATGTCTCACGCCCTCTTTTCAAACAGATAACGCGACACGTAAATCTTCTCTCATTCTGCATGCGAAAGGATTGGATCGAAGACCCTGCTAAGAGGTTGGGCACACACGTCAAAACACATTACATATATTACTCCTAAATTTGCGTCTCAGAATGACCGTTTCGCACTAGGGACTCATAGTAAAATAACGGTACAACAAAAAATGAGGATCATTTAAGTGCCGGCTAAGGACTTGAATGACCATCATTTTTGATTCTAAGTGATGACTTTAGCACACATGGATTAAGCCTATGGACCTCATCATACTGAAGGTTTTAGTTCAGTAAATTTAAGCGTGCCAACCTAGCTAGCACCTCGTGAAACAAATCATACAAGGCGGGCTCCGACCTGGAGATTTTTAGATGAGATTAAGAAAGGTGAAGACGAACGTCTTATATAAATCTAATAAATCGCTAACGAGGTAGACCAATTCGACATTAGTCGCTCCTTCGTGGAAGATTGGGACAGTCTGGAGGTATTGTTTGTTACCTTATTGCGACAAAAAATTACTAATGAATCATCCTTATCAGTGGCATTTTCAATCCTCATCAGTGGCATTTTCAATCCTCATCAGTGGCATTTTCAATCCTCATCATCTTTCGTGAGTTGATCTACTGAAGAAGAATTATTCATCTCGACACAGCAATCAGAGACTCAGTGTCATGGCATTGCAGCGAGAGAAATTTGCACAGAAGACGATGTATGTAATGGCTACAAGCTGATACCAAGCCGTAGGACTCATGCATCAAGTGATTATTCTATCACACAGCTGCATCCGGTTTGGGAAGAGAGGGAAAGCATGGTAGTAGAGCTTCATGAGGCGTCCAAAGGTTGGGCAATTAACCTGTTATAGGCACGTATACAGTGCTACTTCTATACATGAAAAGTACGGCCCGAATTTACGGATGTAAATCTGTACATGTATGGAGAAAGCTTGCGCCTCAGCGCCACGAATAAAGCTGCTATTATAGCAAAGTCGCCTTCTCGATTGGGTTGTATGTCAATGCGACCACCAATCATCTCGGTGATGACAAATATTGCGAAAACGTTCGACGAAATCCTCCGACTTAGGCACCGACACAAAAACCAGTGCGTGATATCCGGCTTCATTTCCGTCGTCCTATTATAAGATATACATCCCAATTGGCCAATCATCACCACAACAATATACTTGCAATGTGGTGCTGGCTTTATGAAACCAGGTGTTTTGCTGTCCCAGCACTGTTATGCCAGCAGCTGGCATACTAAGAGGGAATTCCTTAAAAATCAGACTCCGGCTCGAAGTACTTACTACCGGTAAGTAGTACCATCGAGATTGCATGGGAGCCAACGCTACCACCATCAGAGTGTTGGCGACACTACTGTCCAGTAAGCTAACAGGTGGCAAGCCAATTTACGCCCTAGTCCGTAACTGTCGTGTCCCTCGAGTCAAAGTTTGACGACTGTCATCAAAATTGTAACACCCTGCTGAAACGTGGCTGTTCCGCTCACTTTCCCGTAGTCTTCCGCACCCAATGCGAGCCGATTCCTTCTTTCAGTAAAGTGTCGTCGATTTGAACACGTCCGTGAAACTGCGGGAATAAACTGCCGTTGTCGCGCGCTCTCTGTCGCCGTCGTGATTTCTCTATCATCTGTAAGTTGCAGCTCCATCGCCCCTCAGCTGCAGCAGGCATACATGGAAGCCCCCGTTTCGCACGTCATGGCATACAGCAGCCAAACGGGCTGGCTCCAAATCAGCTATGGAGAGAAATACTTTTCTTGGTTTCACAGTCTCACTATTATGCAGCTGAGTTTGGCCAGAGACTTTACCTACCGCTCGCCACGTGCCGCTTCCATATCGGCAGTGGGATGTCACCGGTGCCAAGAATGTACTTATCCTGAACGTGGAAAATCCCAACTTTTTCTTCACCACCGCTACCTGCCTTATGTGACTTGGTCTCTTTAGTCAAGCTCTGCATGTCTTCGTGTACCAAAGTGACCGTTTGACTCCTGTCGTATGCGAGAGCAACGTCAGCCACCATGCCGTAGCACGATGGGTGTCACGTCTAGGGATTAGACCAGGCGCGACAACAGCGGGTTACTCACGGCAGCTGATGTTTGTGCTGTCGCTTGAAAACGCTCCCAGCTGGCGGCAAATGAGCACCCGCTCTCGATGGCCGGCGATTGACCGATCGACTGTGTCTGATGGATGGATTTTGTGCCCTTATCTTCTTATCGTGCACGAACGGCTGCAAACGAAACCAGTGGCAACAACATTGTAGTATTATGTATATGTAGGAGTGTATCTTTCTACTAGTCTAATCGCATGCCGTTCGCCTGCGAGGCTGCAATACGCAGACCGTCAAAACGGTCCGCGACGAGGTCAACGTAAAAAAAGCGTCGTAAGTATCAAGTTTCGATTTTTTTCGTGCCTTTACACTGCCGTCGTTGAAGCTTCACGCAAGTCATCTCGTTTTTTCTATCTTGGAATTTCTCGCATCCAACGCTTTCCACGTCCGTTGGCAGCCGAGCGTTATCTCGCTTCTTTTCCTTGCTTTTTCAAGCTTCTTCACGCCCCGTCTCCAAACCTACTTTACATACCCATACACTACCAGTGTGTTTCACATCTCAATCTGCCACGAAAGTCTTTGCCACAGCGTTTTCTTTACCATACTGAGACATATCACCCCAAAGAAAAAGACCTTGTTTTTTACCTTTGCGACCAGACAGTAAAAGCGTCGCTTCCATTTTCCAGCAGTTAAGAAAGAAAAAAGCACCACAGCAAAAAAAAACGTCACAGCATTTTGGGTTGTCTTAACTATAAAAAAAATAACTCGATTGAACAATAAGGTCATTAGTGAAAAAGATGCAAAGTCCACGAGAGATTTCGTCTGAAAACCAAGGTGCCCTCACTCCCGCGACTGCTCGTTTAGTGGCCAAGCCAGTGGAAGTACCAGAGAATGGCGCAACACCTCGTCTACTTGATCCATCGGCTACTCGCCAGCCCTGGGCTCATCTCAGCGTCGTCACAGCCATTAATCATGTAGTAAATGCCGCGGATCGCTTTCAGTTTGGAGACGTGGCAGCAACGGCACCAATTCCTACTACTGCACCGACAACAAGCACAGCATCGTCGATGCGCTCCGGCTCGGGGTCCAGTCAAGCAACGTTGCCTGCTGGTCTATTACCGGAACGATATACGGCTGATTTGACACACTGGCAGTCACCTGCTGATTTACCAGAGAGACGATTAATGGTACAACGTATCATTGCTATGACTCGTAGTAAGCGAGTCGATGCCTCGGCTTGTACTGATGCACGCACTCCATCACTCGCCAAGCGCATTGAGCTGTCACTATATTCCCGAGCTGCTTCGTTTCATGAGTATCGTGATTTAAACACATTACGCCGTCGACTCCAGTCACTCGTGTCACTGAGTTTCCATGAAGCGGCGGTATCGCGTCGTCGTGCAGCAGCTCATGCACTTGGGAATGCATCGGTTACTGCAGTCCCTCAACTTGGAAAACGCAAGTGTCGAGCGATGACACCATTTGGTGTCTCGAGACTGACGATCAAACGACCACGACCCGAGTGCATTGGCTCGACTTCGTCGAATACACCACGTACAACTGCCCGATTAATTGAGGAGGCACCGTTTTTTATCATGGACGAAGCTGTATTGGGTCTTGTGTTCGCGTATTTACCTGGGCTCGAGACAATTCGGTGTATTCAGCTCAACCGTTTCGCCCGTCGTGTGTTACCTCGATGTGTATTCAATCTTGAAGTGGAACTTCGTCAGTTACAACTCGCTTATGTCTTATACGCTGCTGCGGTACCAACTCAACCGGCAGCTACGCTGCTATGCCAGTTCCCGAACTTGACGGGTCTTACTGTGTACAACTCAATGAAACCGATGTGTGATCAGCAAGAAGCGGGGCCAGCATTGCATGCTTGGGGCTGTAGTGAGCTGGACATTTCACACGACAATGCAGGAGAAGAAGTGGTGCAGCAATTGGCGGAGGGTATTGAGCTCGGTGCATGTCGTCGTCTTACTAGTCTGCGGCTAGTATCGGTGTTCACCAACACATGCCGTGGCAATGCATTACACCTGTTGTGTGCCGCTTTTGTCAAGGGATCGTGCCCTAATTTGCAGGATTTACTGTTGGGAGGTAACGGTTTCTCGGACGTGGGTACTGTCGATGTTGCGTGGCTTCTCAAGGTCGGGTCACTTCCGAAACTGGCACGTCTTGATATTCGTCGCAACTACATTGGCGAGTCGGGACTCAAGCGTATCATGGCTGCATTACGTGTTGGCCGTTGTCAGCAGCTTAAGTATTTATGCATGGGTGGTAACATTATCACCGACAATTGCGTTGCACCGGTCGTGGATTTGTTGTCAAGTGCCCAATGTCCGCAGATGCGCTTTCTCGGACTCGAGGATAACTTTCTGAGTGCACGAGGTGTACAGTGCATCATCAAGGCGGCAGTAGCGGGAGGTATGATGCCTAAATTACACCACGTTTCATGTGATGGGACACTCGGTATTGATGAGACACAGAGTGTTCGAGCTGCCTAAGATTATTGTAAAATCACAAGCATTGGAACATTAACATTAGGGGCGATGCACGGAAGAGCTGAAGTTAGAAATTGTTAAATATAATGGCTAGAGAAATTCTATACAATGAAGTGGTTTATACTGATCCATTTTATCATTACAAAGTGACTACTAAACGCCTTTGAATCTTCCAGTATCAAAGTGTATTATGTCGTACTTCATCCCACCAGTCAATTATGGTATGATTGAGGAAGACTTGTACCGATCAGGACAACCGAATGAACTCAACTTTCCCTTTCTAGAGCGATTAAATCTACGTACGATTATATATTTGGCACTGGAAGAGCCCAATCCGCAGTTCCAGAGTTTCGTGGAAGAACAGGACATTCAGCTTGTCTTTTTAGGGGGTAATACGCGCATGGAGAGTCGCCGCAAGTCCTGGGAACCACTGTCTGAAGAAACGGTTCTCGCAGCACTTGATATTATCCTTGATCGTTCGAATTATCCACTCTACATCACGTGTCATCTCGGTCGAGACCGTACAGGTAACATTTGATAGAATTAATGTCTTAAGATTTTCTTGTCTTACGTGATGGCTAATTTGAATGATATGCAGGTGCTGTAGTGGGTTGTCTACGTAAGATTCAAGGATGGCATTTGTCATCGATCTTTGAAGAGTATCGACGGTTTGCTGGTAGTAAAGTGCGGCTGCAGAACGAGCAATTTATTGAGCTCTTTGACACGGACTTGGTGACGATACCTGTGAATCCACCATCTTGGATGAGAAAACACTTGTAAAGGATAAGAGGTGGTAGGAAAAACAAACATCAAACAGGTTTGCATAGAAAAAAGTGGACTTGCATTCAACAGCGTTACAAGGGACTTGTCATGGTGACTGCATTCTCAAAAGGAGAATAAAAGCTTCATGACAAAAGCCCACGAGCTCGTAACGAGTGGATCTTACAGAGCTTTCTTTTGGTTCTCCTACTTGTCTTTTTTGTTGCTGCTCGTCCTTCTTGACACACAAAAAGAGATAGTGACTCTCTTAGTATTGAGAGCCACCAACCTGCTCAAGTGCACAATCAATCTGATCCTGATCTTCCAACTCGAGCATCTTGGGCGTCTGGTCGCCACTGATGCGCGTGCCATCCAACAAGAAGCGCAGAGCGCTAGCAGGCACACCTTTACGCTGAGCATAAGCACTAAAGATCTTCTCCATCTTCGTATTGGGCTTCACCTTAAAGAATGTCTCTTCACCTGATTGATCCTTGACTCGAATGGTGATGGGCTCAACCTTTTTCTTGTCTTCACCATTGGATGGGTCCGTATTGGGGGGAACTTCTTCCGACATGATATAAGGGACTGGTACTAATACAAAGAAATCATACAAATTAGAAACCAATCAATTTAATAGAGACGGATAGAGGCCTTTTATAGAAGAAATTAATATCACTCCCACCTTATAGTCGTTTAGTTGCTTGAATTTCAAAAATGACTGTTTCGTTCTTCCATTCGCTTATTTTTGGCAACTCCTTCTTATATTCGGATCATGACTCATAAATAGTGTGGCATGAATACCTTATTTTTGACACTCGACATTACGCAACGACGAAAAACGGCTGAAAAACTTGCGTGTTGCGGACGATTATAATGGTGCGTTTGTGTGCTTGTAAAGCGATGTAGACTGTATTAGACTTGTCTAGACTCATAGAGGAAGCTGGTGGATTGAAAATGGAGACTTAGAACCTTCTGTATATGTAGAAATTAACGAAAGAATGTTTGTATCTTTGTCATTATGTATATAGCTGCCGCTTTCGCTTCTTAAGACGGCACAGGGACACCCTATGGTACATATAACAACTTAAAGAGGTTGATCACATGACATAGAATTAACTGATGCCTACTGATGGTTGTGGAGAAGCTTGTGGAGCTTAAGAATGGGGACACATACAATGGACATCTGGTGAATTGTGACACTTGGATGAATGTGAATTTACGTGAAGTCATTTGTACGTCCAAGGTACGTCAATGCAATACTTTCTATACTATAAAATCTTGTATACGTGACTCTGTGTTTATGTGGCATATTGTGAAAATGCAGGACGGTGATCGTTTTTGGAAGATGCCGGAATGTTACATCCGTGGCAATACAATCAAGTACATTCGTGTACCCAATGAGGTAGACAAATGTACGATAACATATGCTAGGCTCTCATTTTTTACGGTCCTTTTGTGGTTGTGTCGTACAGCTTCTTGATATGGTGCATGAGGAAGACTTTAACAAGCGCGGTACGTTATTTCTACGTGGCATTGCTAAGAGGACAGTAGAGTTGTACGGCATGTTGTGAGCTGGAGAGGTTTGTAACGAGCTTTTGTATGTGTAAATGTTATCAACAACAGATCGTCAAGCATATCGTGGACGTGGCCGTGGAGGTCGTGGTGGCATTGGTGGTCGAGGAAACCGCGGTGGCCGGGGTGGACGTGGTGGACGTGGGGATGGCTCTGGTGGCCGAGGTGGACGTGGAGATAGCCCGGGTGGCCGAGGTGGACGTGGTGAAGGCCGTGGCCGAGGAGGTGGTCGTGGTCGTGGCCGTGGTCGCAGCGACAACTAGCTAGCTAGCTAAGGAACTAACTAAAACACACAGAAGAAGCACGTTAAAGCACCAGGAAAGACATGAAAGCGGTGAATGAAACTCGTCTGTAAGACTTGAAGTGAATATAGTCAAGCCACGAACTAGTCAAGGTTTTCCACCCCTTAGGATTTGTGAAAAAAGAAGCGTCAAGATGTTGATGAATTCATACAAGCAACTAACTCCTCGCAGTCTCCATTTTCATAGCGTGTTGCGGCATGTGATGTTAGTCACTTGACTTCACTGTTTCCACTGGGACCTTGTGGATTGTTCTTAATGAGATAAGATGCCAACCATTCGATAGGATTCGATGGACGTTCTTTCACAAGTGCCGACATGCCTTGCAACAAGATTGGCACAACGGTCTGGTCCAAGTAGGCTCGGATAGGTAAAGCTTGTACTTCCGCCTTGTCCTGAACACTCTCGGTTTCAGGTTCAGCTGGTTTCATCTCCTCCCCGTCATCTTTAGTCACTGAATCGTCCTGATTATCATCTTTGTGTCTCACTTTGTCGTCTTCTGTAGCATTTGCCTCCTTCTTCTCACTCGATTCTACGGCAGTTGGTACCGACACGTCAATCTCCTCCGTGTCAGCAGCAGTAACTTGCTGATCTTTAGCTGGCGTTGCCTCTGCTACGACATTTTCTGTATACAATGACCGTCCATGTATAAGTATTACAATCATTAAAAGACAGGAGGAGCAGAATCTCGTACCAGTAGTAAGCGCGTCATCTTCCATGGTTCGATTTTGGACGGGATGATAATACACTTTGATCCGGATAATAATTATGTGAATTTAAAAAATGTGTACTCATATATTTCTAACCTCAATAGAAATCTATGTCATCCACTCGTAAAATACCGCGGCGTCTGAGAGCCTATCAAATAAATAACGGATAATCGCAAATATGGGTCGAGCTCGAAAGCGTACGATGGACATGATTCGATTGGTTAAAGGTTTATCCCGTAATGGCGGGATGCGTCGACCATCTTGGGTGTCAATGGTTGACCGTTTTCCACCCCCACCAATTCCACGTCAAGACCGTGACAAACTTCCAGTAATTACGTTCCCACAGGACCGTCTAGCTGAACTCTATCTAAAGCAGCGTGACGGTATCGTAGATGGACAAACTGCGTATGAATTTGCCGATGAACAATTGACACTTATTGAACATGGGATTCCAGAAGAAGATGCATTTAATATGCTCATTGAAAAGTACGATCAAGTCGAAAGTCATCGGTTTCTTGAAAAGTTTTCCAAGATGCGAGGTATTGAATTTGCTGATCCTGCCGAGTACGATGATATTGAAAAGGGATGGGTGGATGCAGAAAGTCGTGCTATTAAAGAAGCCATGCGTCTCGAGCACGAGGAAGAAGAAGCGCTACGGAAAATGTAGGGATATCACTAGGGAATGGATGCAATTGGGAAAAAGACAAAGAAAAACATACCTTTATCATTTTCATATGACCTTTGTGCAGTCTTGCAAGTCGTCGTTTATTATTGAAAACTACTTATAGAAGATTGAGACAGGCATTTGCTTGAGTGGAATTTCTACTCCTTGAATCGATGCCGCAATCTCTTTGTTTGTTGTATCCAGTCTTCTTGGCATGCAGCGCAATTGTAATTCACGTGTAGGGTCTTTACAAGTTATTTGGTTTGATAACTCTAACGACTACTGTGGTTGTATTCGAAAGGGAGGACTTGGCTTGTGTCAATGGTATCACATTACTGACGTACGTCGTAGTACATTTTTTGCAGTACCGAGACAATGGAAGTGCTCACGAAACTCTTATCATGATCATAGCTCGAGAATCGAACGCTCTACAACGACATGTCACTCAAGTTCTTGCTGAGCAGTGTTCCACAGTTGTTAGCAGCTTTGCTCTTGCTTTATTACGCCTGTACTTTTTCACGAGCCTCCAGTGCCTTCATCCATCGTATGGTGATAAACTCGTGTCTACACCAAGGTGTGACCAGCCTTATGCTTGCTTCGTTTGTGTTTTCGGCCTTTCAAGTGTCACTTAGTATGTGCTGCTCGTTTCCAGCCTCCTGGTACGATCTCTTTGGCTTTTGATGTCGACAAGAATGCTAATAACGTGTCTAAATCCACAGCCCCGTGGACCCGACCGCCTGCCAGCTCAGTCGAATCGTAGCATGTCCCAAGACCGTTGCCCATCTCACAAACTACAACTTGTATCCCCGGTTAATCCACTGTTGCGCAACTTTTACGATGTTGTTTGCGATGTCCAGCATTGAAGCTGTCCACGTTATCAAGGAGTTGAATGCACGCGTACGTCATGCCAACATCATCACGTTTTCTCGTCATGAATCCATTCACGAAGCTTCAGTTTCTGTTGTCTCCTAAAGCAAAGAAAAGGTCATAGCAATAATACCACAGATCTATCTTCACAAGTCGTCGTGGTTTCAACTGTCATTGACACTCTTAACTAACGGACCACGGATCGTCCAGAAATTCCGGTTGAAAAAGCACTCGTCCGAGTCCCTTATCAGTAGAATAAGACTGTACTTGTTGTGGATACATTTGCTCTCTCCGTTCGGGGTCTTGTCCTTTTTGCTCTCGATTCTCATCAGTAGCAGCTTCCAGAGCCTTCCACGGATCCTCCAGGAACGACGGCAAGAAAAATCTCGCCGTCTTTTGCACGTCATCACTTGGTCCTCTCTTGCGTTTTGATTGCCATTGATTATCACTTTGATAACGTCGATTGTTTCGCTGTTGAAAGCCGCCTTTACGTCCACGTCCTCGTCCTCTTCCTCCTTGATACATTCCAAATTGTTGTATCTGCTGCTGAAATTTTGGCTGTTTATGTTGCATTTCCTGCATCATTATTTGTAAAGTTATAGGCATGGGCGGTACTGGTCCAACATGACCAGAAAGTGGTGGAGGAGGAGGAGGTGGTGGCGTCATGGAATCTAGAATCAATAGTCAAGTCAAGTCGGACGTGAAGCAAGCATTGGTCTCAATACTATAAACATATCACATAAATCTGTTTTAACAGGTTAATTAATTTTAAGAACATCATAAATATTACAATTAAATGTCGTATACATTTTATCTGTATTAAATAGTACAGGTACATTATATATACTGACATGGATGAATTGTCCGCTCGTACTTTAGCCATTCACTTTATAATTCGTGGTCCTTCCGCCAAGTGAGTAAGTGAGTGAGTAGCTCTTTTAAAGCGTCTTTTGTACTGGTCTCTTGGTACTTAGTGACGGTCTCTCGGCTCTGAATTTCTAACATGAATCAATACGGACCTCCATCTAATGGTACAGCATTTCCACGCAATGGTCCACCACCATTTCGAGGTCCACCACAAGCTTTTCCACGTGGTGGTCCACCTCTTTTTCGTCCACCCCTTGCAGCTCGAGGATTACCGCCGATTTTTGCGTTTCGAGGACCTCCACCGGCTTTCCAGGGACGTGGAATATCTCCTATTCAAGGTTCATTACCTCCTGGAATTGCTCAACCACCTCACGGACTTTATATTCCACCATCTAGGATGACGACACCAGGATTACAAGCTCCACCATCACCTGCTACTTCTGTTGGACCTCGAGGATGGAACGAGTTTCGACCAGGTCAAGGAGCTCCGTATTATTATAATACTGCTGTGATGGAGAGCAATTCATCTAAATGGCTGGAATATAAAGACGAAGCAACGGGTGCTTTGTACTATTTCAATACAGTGACAAAGGAGACAGTGTGGGATCAACCGGAAGAATTCCGGATGCAAAAGGCAAGGGAACAAGTAGCCAAGATGACAAGTGAGACACTCCACACGACGTCATTTCCGATGACGACGCAGGTACAAACTTCAGTCCAATCGATGCAGGATTCTGAACAGGAAAAGAGTCGTGCACTGACAGAAAAAGAAGAGGAGGAGAATCAAGAGGACATGAAACGACAGGAAATACAAGACAAAGCTCGCAAGAAACGGAAAGAGGAGCAGGAGCGGGAACAGGCTGCAACTTTCGAAAAGATGCTCGTGGCTGAACGTTTGGCTGCATTCAAGCAGTTTCTGGAGGATAAACAGATCACGCCGACGCTCAAGTGGGGTGACGCACAGCGTTTGATTGGAAAGGACTCGTCAATGCACAGTGATCCTCGCTGGAAGTTTGCATTGAATACTGTGGGTGAAAAGAAGCAGGCGTTTGCAGAGTATTGCACGCAAGCAAAGAATCGTGCAACTATTGAGAAACGTCGATTAGTTAAAAAGACACGGGAGCAGTTTACCGAGCTGCTGGGGCTGTTTGAATCCACCTTGGCTCCTCCTTCACGGCGTCGGCAGGTTTCGTGGGAGGAACTTGCAGCGAGCAATAATTTTTATTCCTTGCGGAACGACCCACGATGGTCTGCTGTTGAAGAGATCCGAGAGCGGCAACAGCTTTTTGCCACATTTATGCAGGATCTGGAGCGCAACCAGAAAGCTCGTCTTGCAAAGCAGCGTGATGCAATGCACAGGGCCTTTACGGAGCTATTGCGGCAGCGTGTTGACTCGAAACAACTGGAGTTTGGTAGCAGTCGCTCCAGCAAGCGGCTTGATGCCGACACTAAGTGTCGTGTTCTGGATTTGCTAAGGGAGGTCGAACTTCCGGATGGTGGTGGCAAAGTTGGCGATGATGCGCTCCGAATTGTTGATCGGCATGATGTGTATAACTGGGCAGAAGAATTCTTGCACGAACGTCGCGAGCTAGAGCACGCAAAGCGCAAGCGGGAGCGTGTGGACCGTGTGGAGCGTCAAGAGAAGATGAGTCGTGAGCTGAATGAGCGATTTAAGGATTTTGTAGTTGTGCAGAAATTGACAGCTGGAAGCACGTGGGAGGAGTTTTCGACGGAGCATCTAAGACAGACTAATGAGGAACCGGCCATAGAATCGAAGAGCGAAGTGGATGGTGGTACTGAAGCAGGCGGAGACGACGAAGGAAATGAAGATGGGGATGACAAACACTTGTTGCACTGGAAAGAACAACGTCATCTTTTTGAGAAATACACTCGACGACTTCGTCGGAACCTAGAGCCCGTCGCCTCGGTGCTTCGCAAGTACTTGGATCGTAGAGGCGATCCGCCATTACGCGTGACTGAAACCACGTCGTACGCAGTATTTATCGATGCGCTCAAGAATGGTGTAAGCATCGCACTGGATAACAATGCACCGGAAGAGGGTGAAGAGAAGGTGATCGAGAAGTCTAACGACGTCATAACGGGTACTTTAGAGGATCATGACGATGGTTCAGCTACAGGGGAAACCGAAGAGGTTAAAAAGTTGAATCCTGACGAAGTTGATGCAGCTCTCGAGAGTGCAGTCAACAAACATCGAGAAATGAACGACAACGATGCGACAGTAGAGTTTCCTGTGTTCGTACGTCAGGTGTACGAAATGTGGGTTGCTTTAGCTAAAGAAGATGGCATGAGAGAAAAGGAAAAGAAGCTCAAGCATCGCAAGCGAAGTCGCAAAGAAAGTCGTAATGTGACTAACGAGGACGACGACGGTGACGAAGATCGACCTTGTCGTGTACGCCGTCGCTCGTCTGCGTTGGAGGAAGTGGAGGACGACGAGAATACTAAGAAGCGTCGGAGCCATCGTTCGTCTAGGAAACGACACCGTAGCCACGGCTCACCGTCTGTCTCGCGTTCCAGGTCTCGATCTCGTTCGGTATCTCGACGCGATTCGTCAAGTTATAGACGCAGTCGCAATCGATCTCGCGACTGTGAAGGTGCATTGCCCCCCGGCTTAGCTGCTGTCAGCCTCAAACCTATCGTTGGTACCATGACAGCACGTCAAAAAATACCATTCAAGTCATTGTCTGAAGCAGAAGAAGCAGCGAAAGCCGAAGAGATTATTCGTCAAGCGCGATTAAAATTGCAAGCAAAAATTACGACGACGACTACGAACGACAGCGAGCTTGAGGACGGCGAGGAACTTGAAGAAGGCGAGGAAGGGGAAGAATAGAAAAAGCGTTGACAGGATCACGTGCCATTAATCATCGCACAATATTATCCAAAAAGTATCTTTTATACATACAGTATGGGTCGTAATTAACGACCAGCTGTTGTTGAAGTATAGTACCAGATGGCAAAACACGACAGAATAATAGCCATTTCTACCTCTTAATTAGGAGTAAGTGTTTCAGTATTTAGTAACTAGTGTATCCCTAAAATTAGAACTAGTATGAAACTTATAAAAAGATTATTTCTCGCACTTCTGATTGGCTATTATTTGTACCTACTGAAATCAAATAAGTTTTGGCTGTTCTGAAATGACGACCGCCATTACTCGACGTGAGACTCGACGTGATATGTCGCTCTCTCTCTATCGTCGCATCTTACGCGTAGCACGGACATGTACGTCAACACTTTGAGTCTTATCTGTATGTTGAACATGAAGAAATGACTCATCTCCTTATTAAATTATGTCTCTCCCGCTTCTTTATTTTTTTGTAGGGGAAGGTGGTTACAAGGAGCAAAATTGGATTCGAACTGAAGCGAGGTAGGAAGAAAATGTGTAGAAGGTTTTGCTAATGACTTGTACGCGTTATGAGGAATGCTCTTTGCAATGAAAAAAAATCTGAATTTTTGAATGCAGGAGACGCTTTGAGGAGAATTGGACGTTAAGAGATCCTGTCATGATCGAAGAAGCTGTCCAACAAGGACACAATCAAGTGGACGTGGCATTGCATTATAAAATTTGTTATCCACGACCACAGTACGCGGATCCGGGTACAATGGGAGGTGAAAGTAATTTCCGTCGCCAGTCTTCGCGAGCAAATACAAGACGTGGACGACTGGACAAGAGTAAAGTACAAGATCAATTCCGTTCTGGTGGACGTTAAAAAAGTTGCATATGATCAGGGATGGAAGTAGTACAGAGAGACGATGGAACATTTATCTGAGAGAGAATATAATGCAAGAGTGGGAATGCTCGTGTGCTATAAATTATCTTTTGTCTTACTATGCTAAGTTACTAAACAGCAAAGTGAAAGGCGCGACTACATTGTGCGCTGCAAGTAAAGGAATTTAACTCGGGGACGACCTATGAACGCGACCGAAACAAAGTGTGGACATGATTGTCGGACAAACCGACCGATATAAAAATACTGCCGATCTGAAGCTCAGAGCGCCACCAGCAAGATCGAGTAAATGGTGCATCGATGCATCGCTAGAAATTGTGGCACCGTAATGTTAAATCCTAGCGCTTGCATGCAGCCAACAAGATGGGCGCCTTGTTCCTCTGAGCCATTGAGATCGTAAAAGAAATCCGTCGTGAGGCTCACGTCGTTGCGTTGTAATTCACGTTGCCACAACTGGAGTAAAATCTGCGCATACATGGGAATGCTAGCGTGACGTGGCGGTTTGTCCAATGATTTCCGACGCTGATGCGCTTGCTCTTCCTCATCCTGAGCGAGAATCAGCGCTTGAACGTCCGCTAAAGACGCGAGGCTACGCGTCGAATTTGATTTACGCATGCCGCCAGTTTTGGTGGCGAGAGTCGATGAATGCAAGGGGTTTTCCATCATACGGAGAAAAGAGTGAATGAGGTTTCGATGTGGTGTTTACGAGGCGAATTCTGAAATGCAAGTGCAACAACGACATGTTTGGGCAAGTGGGGCACTCTCCCTTTGAAGTCGTCTAGAACAACCGACTAGAAAAGAAATTTCGAAGCTTTTGAACGAATAGTAGGCGAAGAAAGTATCGCACGTTTGATGCGTAGTCGGTTGTAAGAGAGCGTCACCGGTTTTTGTGCAGACGAGCAGTGGCTGTGTGAAAAGCGCGGAGCCGGGACATGTCAGTTAGACGTGACGGGTGAGAGGACAGAAAAAGGAAGGCGCAGCATCACTCTCATCGAGTTGACCTAAAATAGGACACAGGGGTATGAATGTCCGACTTTATATGGATTGCAAAATCTAGTGAGGAATTTTATCCAAGGAGACATGACCAATTGATGGAATTGAATCCCCCTACTCAACGAGTACAAAAAGTGGACTTTTACCGTAAAGATGTAGGTAGTTCCGTGGTAATACTGGAGCCATAGACTTGATAGTGAAATATTCATATATAGGCTGCTAATGATGATGACCTGGTAAAATGTGGTAGCGACTATTTTTGGAAAGGAGCTAGAATGACGATGAAAACTTTGGTCGCTTAATGTCGCTTTTCATTCAAGGCGGTTACTGTCATCGTTGGTTTCAGATGAACTAGAGCTATTTGAGACAAAAGTACGGCAACTTGCCCTATGTCGTTCCACTTGAGCCTGTCACACGAAGCTTGTGTGCTTTAACTCCCATCCTCGCTAAAACTTTGAACCTCTGCAGCAGCTTACAAAGAGGTCGATCGTTATGCTGCAGCAGAAAAGGCGTCTTTGATTGAGAAAAGTCGCTGACTGAACATCGACGCTGGGCAGACCACCGTTGGAATAATCGCTTTTTCTTGTCTGCTGGGTGGGACACATGTTAACACATATCATGTCAGCTGGTGCTGTGCTTAAAGTTGCGGTTGTAATCTGTCACCGTAACCACCGAAACCACGACACCATGATTGTTTGGAAATGACCTGTAGTGGGATTCCATGTCGCTTCACTTCAACCTCACCTGCTAGTCGTAATATAGGCAAAACATTAGACAAACGCGTCAGATTTGGCGGCATTACGGTAAAAGCTTTTGCTACTTTGCGTCTTAGGTGGTCTCACGACAGGTGAAGATACTTCAATAATTCTGCTTTGTTGGTAGAGAGTACGTACCACAAGCACATGAGTATGACCTAAGTTCTTAGACGAGCTGTAAATCTTTACAGCGTCCATCTATACTAATTTGCTATAGATTTTGCCATCATGCATTCCAACAGTTCTGGAAATCATCCGCTGCATCTAAGGCGTATTGATTTGTAATATGGCCTGCAAGAACGACAGGTGCTACGAGTTTTGGGGTGGCGTTGAGCAATGAAATGACATCGTATGAGCTTGCCCACACGCTACGCTTATAGGGTCAGCAGGGCAGTCGAAATCGCTCAATAAATGGCCTTTAAGTGCCAAGTTCCTGACGATTAGAAACTTCGCACTGGGTGCTCGACATCTTTTTTGGTATCGTATCCGTTAACTCAACGACCATCGCCTACAGATGATCATGCAACTCATGTTGTCCATCCGGGCAGTGTGGCACTTAGTGCGTTGCATGTGTGTTGATGTCTGGTCTGCCCATCTGGCCCGCTGGGTAACGCAGGCTACATGTGTCACAAAAAGAATACTAGTGGATATCACGAGCCATACATTCATATCGGCACGTGGACACTGGTGCTCGTTATGAAACGAATTCAGCAACGCTACCGGCTTTGCTGAAAATATATCTACTAACGATGAACTGTGGGCATCCTGCCCTACAACCGCCGCTTGCCGAAGATTGTCCCTTTGTGGTTTCACACCAAGCGAACTCAATTTTATACAATGGCGTGCGTGCTTTGTGTAGGGTGAAGTCGTGTAAGCGGTGCGACTTTGCAAAAGCAAGCAGATCACTTGACCAATTGTAAATGGCACTATAAGACTTAATCTTCTGCAATAAACATGATCGATTAGTCGTAGTGCAAGCGGTTATCATTCATTACAACATAAAGTCAGCAGTAGGGACTTGGGGTCCGTTGCCAAGAGGTCTAAAAGACTGACGCAAAAAAATGAAGAGACCGGGTGGGTGACCTGACAAGAAAGTGTAGTGCGCTCATTGTAAATGCAAGACCTGCACATACATTTTCTTCCTGATATCTCTACCTTACACAATTCAATCTTGTCGACAGTGTATTTAGTGTGCTGATGTTTTGTCAGGGAAGTAGCTGGTTTGTTGTTGTTCTATCATGGGGGTTGCTGTATATCTGGCTTAGTAGTTTCAATATTTGCTTTATCGTCATCACCCACTGACCACGAATGCTTACGAAGCCGAATTTGCTTAAGGTAACTTTGACAATGATTGTGGTCGACCTCGCATAGGAATAGTGAATATGAAACTGCAAGTTTTTGGTTATCCAATAGATTCGTTATCACGTTGACGCTCTCCCCACTTTACGATGCCACCTTGACCTAGACGGTCTTTATCTCTTGCATACCGCTGGCCTTCTTTAAATCACTAAAACATAGCAAAGAATCAGGGACGTCCATCCGTTTGAATTCTTGAGACGGCTTGTCGAGGAAAGAGAAACTTTGACGACAAAGGCATTGGCGTCTGTCTACATGCACAAAATGTCCTCGGTTGACAACACTTCAATAGCGAGTGCAACAAGCAAGCAGATGGTTATGGCTGGACCAGCAAAAGTATCTCTCTTCTCATTACTCACCTTAGAGAGCTCACGTGTATATATCTCTTAGCGAATACTATCTCCTACAAAGATGCAGGCATATCTCACATATTGAACCCATGTGAGTTATACCTGCTCATCTCTTGTTGCGATGCAATGCAATGCACCTTCACACCTCAATTGTCATCCTTCACCATCCAAATCTATGCCGTCTTCTTGCACACGCAGTCAGACGGTATTGACATCGGATTGCAATTCTCTATGTCCCGAAGGTCGTCCGTGTGTGGCGTATACTGCTGAGGACGAAGACAAGTGCTCGTCCAGCACTTCAACGTTCGGGAACTGCACAAGCGACGACTATTGTGCATATGAATGCTTTGCTACAGGTCCAAACGACTTTGGAGCTAACGGGGCAATCGACTTCAGTACGTACACGTTTCTGATCCCTTTTGGAAGCGACGTGGAGCTTTATGAGCAAGGGTCAAGAGATGAGGAGGCGGCTGTCGATGATGCCAAAGTGGGTACGGTCGATTTGACATCGAAATACCCTTTCAAGTCCAATGAGGTACTGCAGCACATTGAACCGCTCGACTTCAAGACGTCGACTACAGATATCGTGTTGGCTGGTGGCTCTAGTGTGTTTGGCGTGCGAGGAAAGGTGGTGAAAATGCAGCTACCACGGGAATTATTCACGGCCGATACCCAATTGCAAACAGTGTATGTAGTTGGTTCATAGGATACAAAGCTGACTTAGGTATGATGAAGTGCTCAAGTGACTCGGTGTAATGTGTAATGCAGAACGCTGGCAAATTTCGGATTGAAGCAGATTCTCGAGTCGTCCTTGCCCTCAGGACTGGTCAATCTTACGATATCCAACTGCCTCATGACAAGCTACCCGAACGATTTACAGGTTATGAGTGAGCTCAAACACCTGTAAGACTTGCGTTACTTTTTAGGATGTCAGTGACATCATTTCTGACTTTGTTGCTATTGCAGGGATCTATCGACGAACTACTTTGAGTTTTTTCCGTCAGATCTGGAATTGCCGAGACTACAGACGCTCAACCTGTCAGCAAATAGTCTTGCAAGTTTTGAGGGCTCGTTGCCGAGTTTAGTCACACTGTAAGTGCAGGAATGCAAAGGATACTTCAAGTGATCTGATCTTTTGTCGATGTTGTTATTCTCGCAGTGACATCTCACACAACAACTTCACTTCGATTCCAGCAGCCATTTTCGGACTGAAAGATCTACGACGGCTAGATCTTCAAGAAAATCATTTCACAGATGTGATACTCACAACTTCACAGTTTAAATTCCTTCAAAAGCTTACCGAGCTCAAAGTAGATTCGTTTGGTAAAGTGGCGTGCAACACGACGGAGACGCTTCAAACAAGCAATAGCTCAATCAGCGTGTGCGTGTCAGATACGAAGCTGCCGTCCAACAAGGCACTTATCGCTGGAATCATGGCTGCATCTCTCGTGCTATTTGTCGTCATCGTCCTCATTTTCGTATTCAGACTTCTTCACCGCCGTGCGTTAAGCACGAAATTTGAGCCAAAGATAATCAGTCTGCATCGCGAGCTACTCAGCCCAATGAAAGAAGCTCCTTTGTCACCTTCGCTCAGTTCATCCGATTCTTTGGATGTGAAATACCACCCCCAACGTTTTCCTTATGAAATGGAGCTTGAGGCACTGCTTTTGAACGCAGACGACCTCGACTATATTCGCAAGTTACCCAGCAAGCATCGACCAGATCGTGATCATCGTGAGACTTTTTTGACGAGATTTCGTGGCTCCAGTTTTCTTGTGTGCAAGAGGTTGCAGCGAAAATTTGTCAACGATACATCGGAGGTGCAGCGCTTTGCAAAAGAGATTCATCTTGCTGCCTTCCTTGATCACCCACGGATTGTAGCACTTGTGGGAATTCTTTGGAGCCGCGTGTACAGTTTGGAGGCACTGTTTGAGTACATGGATGGAGGTAACCTGCGTTCATATTTGGCAGAAGTCAAAAATGCTGAAGGCTTACGCTCATGGCGGTCACAGAGTGTCTGGAAACTCCAAGTTGCGTTTGATACTGCTGAAGCGTTAGCGTATGCACATTCGTTCTCACCAAAGCTTGTGCACCGTGCTCTTACTTCCCACAGCGTTTTGCTGTCCTCGCCACCAGAATTACACGCTCACCTGGACAACTTTGTTTATGAACATCAAGAAGTTACCAACATGTCGACTTACCCTGAACGATCGCTTGAAGCGAGGTGGTTGCCACCCGAAGTAATCACGGGTAGCGCTGATTACAGTCCTGCTGCAGATATGTACGCGCTCGGAGTGATTTTATCGGAGATCGACACTCATTCGCTGCCTTACGAGAATGCAAAGAGTGTTGTGGGCATGAACGACATGGAAATCCTTAATCTAGTGGCTTCCGGTAAACTGCACCCTGCTTTCACTTTCGGCTGCCCGAAGGGTTATCAAAAGCTCGCACAGCAATGCCTCAGCTTTAAAGCATCCGATCGACCGACTGCCTCACAAGCTGTCATCATGTTGCGTGCACTACCTTTCGTGGAAGATCGTCACATTTTGTATACTGTCTAGTTTAAAGGCCAGGCTACTAATGCCGCGATTAAGCATCGTGTAATGCTACCAGCGCATCCCCGTAGTATCACAGGGACATGACAACATCACCCGACGACGAGGGCATTTCCGTCTGCAGCCAAAAGACTTGCTCAGTAAAGCTGAAGACACCATTTAACAGCTCAAACACTACATAGCACAATTTTGCATCGTAATAAGGTTGAACGGGTCGCACCCTTGCACCCTTTTATTCAACAAGGGTGCAGTCGGCCATGCGTTTTCCCCTTGCTGAAACATCCACTTCATCCCAGCGACGACCTATCTCCAGCTGCATTCTCACCACAAGGTCGAGTATTCTTTCCAGCAACTCACAACTCGGCCTTTTGACCCTTTGCACTAGCAAGCTCGCGTTTAGTGACGAAGATACTATGTGAATTCAACTAGAGCATCACCACCAAGAGCTGGGCATATACATACACTATCAAAGACTAGAAAGACTATTATTGCTTATTGAAGCAATTTTCTTATCGCATAATCAAGTGTAGCCATTTGATCTGATTCATCAACGACCCCTTTTCTCTGCCTTACTTCCCGCTATAAAACGGACGCTTGCATAAACAAGTGATCACCTAAAAATGAGCTTTCCAAGATGGATCTTTGACAACCTAAGACCGTAGTATACAAACCCCCAGTTTATTTACAATTCTTTTTCTTTATTAGCTCTTAGTATTCGTTTCAGCCAATCACCATACAAATAAACGGAAAGAGTTGGAAATTCTAGTCATTTTCCATTTTATAACGCCATGTCCGAACACGACCCACTTTTTTCACGTTCTTATGGAGCTTCATCCACGACTTCCACGTCCACAGCTCCACGATGCTATGGTGGGTTTGAGCAACAAAAGCGAACGTGGGCATCGACAGCACGTCGTTCACAGCGCATCCGTGTGATTGCTGGACTGCAATTGTTACTGGGCTTATTAGCATCGTGTAATTATTTGTGGCTGTCCAATATCTTTATGTTTATTGTGGGCATTGTCGGTCTTTTGGCTGTACGTTCCGATTGTATGAGCTGGACCGTTGTGGTACGTTTGATGATGGATACATAGTTGACAAAAAGATACGCCCATCTGATTTGTCTTCTTTGCTTTTTTTTGTGTAATGGTCTTTTTTTATTGTAGTACTTATTACTAAGTGCGATGGAATTTGCACGGATTATCATGCTGACACCTCATTTATATGAGCGGTTTGAAGTACCGGGATATGCTTTTTCGCACTATGAGGTCTTTCAAGCTGTCGTCCTTGTACTGGAAGAAGTTTTCCTTGTGGTATGACACTTTACAAATGATTTCATGACTTATATTCTGATACTTTTCTAAATGTACAATTTATATTGTAGCCAGCAGCTTTTTGGGTGTGCATTGCAGCGGCAGCAGCAGTGGCCAATCCATTGTGGTAAGTTTTTACCGAGATCCACACATCTAATCGATTTATTACTCAGAGACCTACAGAAGCACAACAATCAGACTGAGCCTAACTGGGTGACACTGATTTCAACTGCTACCTACGTTTTCTATTGTCGTGTATTCTCGCACAGCTAACTTAATCTATATTCGCCTTCAAACGCAAGGTTTGTCTATGAGTTGTGTCGTGTCATTTAAATCAGCTCAATTGCACCGGATTCAACGTGTTCCTGGATGCTTCGGTAGCGCAGCACATAGCGATCAGCAGAAGTTACTTGGACAAAGTTTGCGCCTTTGTCGTCGCACTGTACGCCGCCTGCGTCTAATCCCTGACAAAACACAAAGCCGTCTAGATTCGGCTTAAGCACTGGCACATACCGTCAGAGTCAAACACTAAATAGCCACATATTGCTTATTTCTTACCCATATCTTCAGTTGTTAGAGAGCGGTGTTCCGCATCAAACTTGCTCAGAACCAGATCGTTCATATGTGACTCATAGAGAGTCACAAACCTAGAAAGCAGCAAGAAACAGCAAAACACCCTAAGCATAGTAACACTTCTAGCAATATAACGTAACATGATCTGTGCTTAGCTTACTGCTGAGCAAAGTTGCGCTCTTTCATCGAGAGTCGCTGTACCAACATAGCATCTCCCAAAATATGGATGGCAAATTTCTCAATCTACAGTACAAGAGACACCATAAAAATAGCACAAATACAATATCGTATCAGTTACATATCCCAATCTCTTGGTTACAATGACAATGACTTACTTTGTGCAGACGTGTGCGCAAATACGACGAGACCATGTATCGCAGTCGGTCAATTTCCATCTGGTACAGTTTATTGACAAAAGATTTTTCGTCTACAAGTTGTTTACGATCTTCATTGACTGAATCAACGTATTCCTGTTGATTTTGAATTTGCTCGAGCATCTCGGACACCATTTCTTCGTTATATTGTAAGATTTCAGGGGCATTCTAATGGACAGAAGGACAATTGATTAAATGACAAGCTACGCAATTGATTCTTTTATTGTTTTAGACGGAGAAAGATGCATTTTAAATGAAAAGAATTACACATACGAGTTCATTGACCCAGATCACACGCATGCGCGTGATATCTTCATTTAAATTGTCCTGATTAAATTCGGGCTGCGACGGCGTGTCCATTTATTGACGATTCAAATGGCTACAGTCAAATATTAATAATAGTAATAGTAGTAGCTATGATAAAAATATTATTAATATATTATTTTGCATACTTGATGATAGTGGTCTCTTCAAATGTAGCCATCTTGAGAAAGGCAAGATACTTTGTAGCTCCTTAATGCGAAATGATGTTCTTTCTCGTTGAGAGATGGTTCGATTTGTTCAGTGATAGATTTAGCTTGATACGGAAAAGACCGAAAAGAAAGAAGACAAAAAAATAGAGAGATCTCATGGGCGCCGTGAATTGCTGCGCACAAACGGCTTCGGATGGTTAGCCATCTTTAATCTGCATTCGAGTGTTGCAGTGTGCCTGATAGTGTACTAACATGACACTTTTTGTACGCTGTTTGGGTCACATGCAGTAGATGCATGGAAGACAGGAACCCGTTGTCGAACGTTGAGCCGAGGTGAAGCGAAAGAGCTGATGCCAATGTACGACTATGAGCCGTCACTGTCACTGGACCTCGAAGACCGTGCATCCAATACCGATGGTGGAGGTATGGCCTTCTCCCCGGGAACTCCCATCTCTACATCAATTAGACCTGATCTCGAAGACAATTCGATCGAGCTTGTCGCTGGCGAGGGTGTTGTAGCGATCCATAAAGACCTAAAAGAGCAGGAGATGGAGATGTCTTCGGAGGCACGAGCACTGCTACCTGCGCCCAACTCATGCCCTCGTTCGGGTACAACTTGTAGATTGTTGAACAAGTGTGTACCTTATACTGACTGCTGTCCTGCTGCTATAGGCATAAATCTACGTGGCAGACAATCACCGACATTAGGTAGCAATAAGTCGCACGCATCGACACCACGCCGTACGCAGTCGTTTGGCGAAGGTATCACCTTGTGACTTTTCTAGCTATTCACAACCTTTTGACTGTTGCTACTTGTTCGTACTGTTCAAAAGCTCCTCAGCAATTACGTCTTGAAGACTACTTATGCACGTGCAAGCATTGTCCTCGAGCCATGACGATCCAACGTGCTTTTCAGCTCTATGGCTTTGCATTGGACCACCCTCACAGTGACGCACTTCTTCACGTGTTACGTGCCTGTGCTAATTACGATGAGACTATTGTTGAAGTTGATCCGATTTTAGTGCTACATGCCGAGAAAATGCTGGAAGAGCTCAACTTTGACGAAAACGAAACGTTTCGTCTTCTCGTTGCCTCGCATTTTAAACACCTATAAGCTACTAAGTAGCTACAGTAGGTCAATTCAAGCGCAACATGTTGAAGCAGACACCGCTTCTACCATCCCTAATCTCGTTAATTCCATCATCTTTTATCCGTTCATTGGTTGAAATTTAATTACATCACTATTTGATTTGATGAAAATACAATCCCCAAGTTGCTACTGTTCATTGGATACCACGTGTCCCTCCCCCCCCCCCTCGACCTCGTCATTTTTCAAAAATCTCTGTTAATCTCAAGTCTCTTTGTGAATATTCAAGTAAATCATGGCTCGTGAACGCACGTACATTATGATTAAACCGGACGGTGTCCAACGTCACCTCGTGGGTGAGATCATCAAGCGTTTTGAGACAAAGGGCTACAAGCTCGTGGCTCTCAAGCTCGCTCGTCCGTCGGTGGAGCATTTGGAAGCCCATTACTCGGATTTGTCCGACCGCCCCTTTTTCCCGGCGCTTATTAAATACATGAGCTCTGGTCCCGTGACGTGCATGGTCTGGGAAGGTACCAATGTCGTACTAGAAGGACGTAAGATGTTGGGTGCTACGAAGCCCAGTGATTCAGCGCTCGGCACGATCCGTGGCGACTTTTGTGTCGACGTCGGTCGTAACGTGTGCCACGGTTCGGACTCGGTTGAATCGGCTGAAAAGGAAATCACCTTGTGGTTCCCTGAAGGTGTCATTGAGTGGGGTGCTTACGATGACGAGTGGGTGTACGAGAAGTAAAGTCTGTAGTATAAAAAGTTGAGATGGAGCTTTTCGTCCGTCATTAGGATGGATCACCCCCTGCTCACTTTTATTTGAAAACGGACTATCAACAAGGTAACAAGATGTTAAAATCCAATACAAAATGAAAGCTTTTCAATTGCAACAATGTGGTAGTCAAGAAGAGGACGGAACAATTTGTGTCAATCATGTTGTCTCTGAAGTGGTATTTCGATTGAAAGTGTCTTGCTTCTTCTTCGTGGGTCAAGTAACGTATATGTGCCAGTAGAGTCTATAAATATATACCCTGGGGTTGTTTCTTTACCAGGTGACGAGAACGACGTCTATTGTCATTCGATTCAATGACGTTTCTTCTACTTTGATTGATACCTGTCATATCATTGTGCTTTATTCTCTTGTGTCATATTGATTGATCTCCACCAACTGAAACGTTACTGAACGTTGACAAAGCTCTTCTTTTTCTTCTTTTTTATACCAAAGACATTTTTATAACGTAAATATAAACAAAGAGAAGAAAGAAAAATGACATCGAGTGATAAAAAGTATGAAGTACATGTGCTACCGGCATTTATTCCCATTTTCTGGTGCTTTGTAGGCATTTGTCTCGTGCTTTTGTATTATTCATTGAGATATGCCAAGAAATACTCCACTACTGCCGCTTTTCTCTTGACGGTAAGTCAGTCTACTTGTCTGTATCACATTTTGTTTGTCTGTAGGGCTACGATCGTTTGATGCTCTTCTGTGTGTGTCTTCTGTCATGCAGCCATTCATTTGCTTTAGCTTAATCTTTGACAACGTTATCATGGCTACCACGGGTATTGACCGTCGTCGAACTAGTACTCAAGCAATGTTGGCCTTTCATTCATGTGTCGTGCCCATGCTTTTGCTCGTGTGCTATGAATTGGCATACTTGGTCCACAAGCACAAATCTGTCAATTTCTGCGGGATCATGTTCGAGACTGGACGTGACAATAGCTGCAATAATGCTGATGCAGTCTTGCAATGCCGTTGGCGACTGTCGACGTGCTTGCGGTTCATTGTGTGGATCCTGAGCTGCATCTTGCTGGTACTTAATTTACTTGTAGCTTACCACTGGACATCAGACGTATCACTTGAAATTACCAGCTTGTATGAGCTTCAGGGAGATAATATGGCTCATGTTGTGAGTGCCATTCTACCGGCACTAGTGCTTGTGATACTTGCACTTTACATTGGTCTTCAGCTTTGGAACTACGGCACCAATTACTCGTACATGGTGCACGCTACATGTTTCAACCCGTGGATTTGGATGCTTGTAGGTGCAGTGGCGCTGCTTGTTGGCTACCTCATGCCGTCTCCAATCTACGCGCTGTCTTCAAACGCTGGTGAAGTGATCATGATGGCTACAATTGTACGCATGTTTCGTGAAGTGCACCACGACATGCAACAAGGTCTTCAGTTTAGTGATTTTATTGATCCGGAAGGTGCTGCTGCTCGCAGACAAGGATTAAAAGGTTTCGACGTGCATAGTTTGAGCTTGAGCACTAGCAAACGCACAAGTCAGAGCAAGATGGCAGCCGATCAACCTAACGGATATTTTGCGGCGACGACACCGAAGGAGTCGGCACTTCCGGCCACGTTTGCGAATCAACTCCGTCGCGGTGACTCTGAGGGAGATGCACGTTCCAGCAAGAGTGCTGCCTACCTATCCGTTGTCGTGGCTAAAGAGTGTACAAACCCGCTATGGGAGTAGGTAGGAACCATTGTGATGCAGCTGTACAAGAATCCACCTATTTTGTCTCTGAAAGCGTTGCTGCGTTCGATTGTGAAAACACGAGGACGAGTTGAGTTGTGGGAGTCAAGTGATCCATAAGCCGATCACAGGGCACGTATATCTCAATCAGTGAAGGTTTCTTGAGATGAAGCAGCAATCGAACTAGATACAGATCATGATGGCACATGACAACTTGTAAACTGCTAAATCGACAGACAACATCATTAGCCATAGCACAACAAACCATACGACTTCATGGCATTTTTACTTTACCAGATGCAGCTTGAGTATACGTTATGTACATATCCATCACTGTCATCTAGCATGAGTCGAGCAAAATAGATGGTCGCTATACTCCACTCGACAACACAACATGCGCTTCTTTCGTGTGTTTTTGCTTCTTCTCGAGCACCTTCATCATCTTCGTACTACCTTCCCCGGAAAGCAGTTTCTGTGCTTCTAGCTCCTCCTTGAGCTGCTTCAGTCGCTTCTCCTTCTTCTTCTTTCCCGGTTCTTGGCCATGGAATTTGTACGACAACATGCGAAAAGCCTCCTTTTTGGTAAGTAAGCGGCCAAACTCATCGCGGTAATCCAGCTTTACGCCGTTTTTTATACGCAGATCGTCCTCAAAGCTGTGATTACGTGCATCATTAGCACGACCAGCCTGCCGTTCAACACGGGTCTGACGTAATTCCCCAGTCTTGCGCAGTAGCGCCAGGGTTGCGCCCATTCCTGTTCCAACCAAATGCTGCTCCTCGCCCCAAACCTCATCCTCTTTAGCCTCTTCGTCCTCACTTTTATCCTCAGCTTTCATCTCTTCGACAATTTCTTCGTTGTCTTCCTGTTTGCGCTCTTCACCATAAAGTTTCTTAGTCATGGACGAGACATGCACTGTACCACCTACAGGTTTAGCCTGGAACTGAGCTGCACGCTTCTCCATGGCGTCGCGCAGCCGCGTCTCGAAGTCTGTAGCCTCGTTAAATACCACTTCGTTTGATGTAGTGCCAGCTTCACCGAACACGTGACCTACAGGCTCGCTTCGGGAGCTAGCGCAATTATCCATTGTGACGTCTCCGCCGCTGTTTGTGGCAACTGTTGAGGTCACATCTTTCTCGTTGCTCATAGCTTGATTCACCAGCTGCGTGATCCGGTCCTCGCTCGTCGTCGGAACTACTGGCATCTGATCTTGATTTTGTTGATGTGCCACTTGCCGAGCACGAGCTAACGAAGCACTGAGCTCCATATCTATCGCAGCAGCATAATCCATAATCTCGCTATCGTCAAACGGTCTCCTTTTCACCCGCTTCCTACTGACATTGGCAGCCAGTGCCTCTGATGCCACAACACTTGCCTTTTCTCGTGCTTCCTGAAACCGAAGAAGATTGATTTCCTCATCAGGGTCTTCATCATCATGACGGTTGCGTTTGCGCTTTCCGCGGTCTTTGGACGCCGACGCACCGGCCTGTAGAGCCTCTTGCTCCAGCTGGGCAACCAGAGACGCAGCTTCGCCACCATTTTTATTTCCCGCTTGCGCCTCAAAAGTATCATTGTCGCCAAGATCTTCATCATGACGACGACGAGATTTCGTTTTCTTCTTTTTGCGCAACTTCTTGCTTTTCTTGTGTTGCGCAAATTGAGCATCCAGTTCTTCCTTCGTGTAGTAATCATCAGCCCGCTTGATTCTATTCATTGCCAATGAAATCACCGCCACGTTGTCGTCTCCTTCCTCCACTTTACTCTCTTGTAACACAACCGAGCCTCCCGATGCATCCAACTGAAACTTCCTCGCTGCTTCAGCATCCTCCGCATCCTGATCTTCATCATACTGCGCCAACAACTTGGACCCACTTTTCTTCATCTTCCTCGAACTCCCCATCTCAACAAATTCATCATCATCATATCCGGTATACACCGGCATGGTCGCTCTTTTAGCTCTTAATTGTTGTACTGAGCGTCGATCTCTTTCACTCATTTCAACGTTCACAAGCTCATCCTCTTCTTCATTCAACTCCTTGCCGTCTTTTCCTAAAACTCTCGCGTCTTTCAGCGTCAAAACAACCTCTTGTCCGTCTTCAAAAGTATCCAATGAATGCCCCACTGTCATGCCTGCCAACGCAGCAGCGTCATACTCTTTCTCCTTCTCCTTCTTCTCCTTCTCTTCTTCCGTCTTTATCTTGGTCCTTGACCGCTTCACCCACTCGAGAGCAGCATGGCTCGTCTGGACACGATTTTTTTGTCCTTCCAAGTCGTGTTTTAGCTGTTCGCCAAGTGATTTTCCTGCTAATTTCTGCGTTAACTCTCGTCTTGTCTTGGACTGCTCGAGCTTCCGTTTGAGCTCCTGTTGCTCCCGTTGCGCGTCGAGTTGAGCGCTTGTTTTCTGTACATTAACGACTGCTTTTTCCTTCTTGGAACTACCAAGAGAAAGTGGTTTAAGACCTAAAGAAACACGCAATTGATTCGTTTCTTCGATACTGAGCGAAAGTTCGCCAATTTTCTCATCTGTTGACGCTAAAGGCTCTTTTCGACGTCGACTCCGACTGCGACTACGACGACGAGATGAAGAAACGTGTCGATCACGACGAGAGGACGACGAAGAGCCGCTATGACGACGAGAACGAACAGGAGAACGCGACCCACTACGACTTCGACTACGAGCCATTTTAGCCGGAATTTCGTGTGGTGTACCTTATGAAATGAACAATGGCTACATGTAGCCATTTCAAGCCAGCTCACGGTTTAATTTATGGGTCACATATGTGAAAAAAATGTATGATAGTACGAAATTGCCGACTAACCCATGGGTGAGCATAGCGGAAGCTATGCTTCGTACTTACTACAACAACTACAATCATTTTTGGACGATGCTGCAACGCTTCTGCAAGAACCCTGAAACAGAAGAAAACGCGCGTGAATTGCTGGATGTGGTGGGGAAGAAAATTTCTTAGAAGGTCAACCTTAAAAAATAAAGGTACGGACTGGTGTCAATGACGAAGTCATCAAACGCATTCGAAGTGGACCGATATCTTTAATTCATTGATAATATAAATCGTTTGCCTTTACCTGTTATAGTATTGATAAGTTTGCCTTTTACTGGTTTCGTATTGATCTTTATGTAACGTTCTGAGTTGATGATGTTAAGCTCTACTAATATTCTCATTGATCAGTGTGTTTTCCCAGCACTGAAGAAACGCAGTGTGCTAGCTGCAAATAGCAAACTCGACGCAGCTGTAAAATATGAAACGACTAGTGTTTTTGGTATTACGGGGGACCTGGAGTTTGTCATGTTCTTAAAAGATGCAAGCCGGTATTTCAAATCAAGAGTCGAGTAAACCGCAACTGCCGGAAGAGAGTACGCCAAAAGCGATACTTCTTCATGATGAGACTGACATCCCTGGCTTAGCTATCACCAGTGTGTATCTTTACAGTTTTTAAGAACACTTGAATTTCTTGGCACTTTAACGTTGCGAGTCGTGTGTGGGATCCGGAGGAGTAGTGTATCTCTGTAGCACTAGCACTGATGTCAAATAACCAACGTTAAAATCTAGACATATTCCATGATGTCAGCGACAGTCCATTAAATATACGACAATTACCTTCAATGGCGACGGAATGTACAGAGGTGCGTAAAGACAGCGGATTGTACTTGGTAAGTCTTTTGGTTTGCTTGGATTTGCGATCTTCAAGGGTGCCATCGAAGATTTATAAAGAACTGTCGACGAAGACTGCACAGATAATAATGGCTGCATCTTCCTGCTTCGCTGTGGATTTTTTTTATTAAGCACCTGAACTGCTTTCTTCGACCCTGGCCACGCGGTTCATCGGGAATGACGTCTTTACTTATTGTGGTACATGTTTGGTCACGTAATTGCCAGTGGATGTACTTCCACTGTAACGGGGTGAGTCCGTTACATAATATTGACACTAATATGACGTATCAATAAGAATATTATAAATAACTAATAATATTAGACAGTATTATCTTTAATTATAATATTGTTAAAAATGCCCTTTAATTGGTTGATATGGGCCATTAAATCAACCAGAGCGCTGACCAATGACCGATGAACGCGCGCAGTGAGTTGTCAACATACATAGTTGTAGTTTAATAGTTAGAACAACATTATAGCAGATTACGTAGCGGAGCTCTCACCACGTTTGTCAGAGGAAGACTTTTGTTAGGCTAAAGGCCTGTTAGTTCGAAGGAGATATATAAATATACGGCTTAAATCTGCTTGGTTCAAAGAAACTAATCAAAAGACTTAGTGTCAACTTTTAGCTCGACTTTTATGGTCAAAAGCCTGTTAGATTTATAAAAGTAACAGGCTTTAAACCTAAAAAGTCTACCTCTGGTCTAGAGCTGTGTAGCTCCGCTACACTTGTAGCACCTGTAGTCAATCCTACACCTGACTTTTTAAGACTGACCTTCTGTGAGGATGGAGGGTCAAAATCACCTCTCTGAGGCGCAACGACTCGCACTAGATAAATTATGTGCGTTCGTTGGGCTCGATCAAATCGAGGCTCTTTTGGCCCAAGGCCCGGAGGTCCTCAATGCTCGCCTATAGGCCTTCATGCGTTATGAGGCAACGCTACTCGGGCAGGTCCACGACCAGGTAGCGCCAGCTGCGGCTACGCGGTATATCCCGGTACCTGTGCCCCATGAAGTGGGACTGGCCATTCCTTGATAATTTTAATCTTTTCTGGGTCTGCTCGTACACCGTGTGCACCAGCAATGCAGCCCAGCACAGGTATCTCGGGGACCCCTATTACGCACTTTTGCAAGTTTACGTATAATTGGGCGTCACCCAGAGTCTGCAACACAGCGTGTAAATGACGCTTGTGCGACTCTATTGCGCACAGGCCGTCCTCCGCCCTACTATGCACGAGCACGTCATCAAAGTAATGGGGCGCGTAGGCACGGTGCTGACGCATCACGTGAGCCACCACTCGGTTAAATGTTGCCGGAGCATTTTTCAGCTCTTGTGGCATCACAAGCCACTCCCACAGCATACCGCTTGGGGTGCTTACTGCCGTTTTGGCTACATCAGTATCTCTCATGAGAACCTGATAGTAGCCATCCTTCAGATCCAACGCGGAAAAGATAGTTGACTTTCCCATGGAATTCAACAAAACATCTTTCCGCGGGATCGGCGTTTGAGCCGGAATGGTGGCCGTGTTCAGCTTATTATAAGCATGAACCACGCGCCATCCACCCGTGGCTTCACGCACACAGAAGGTCGGGCTGCAGGGAGGCGACTTACTCTCACGTACATGTCCCGCCTTGGCTTGCTTGTCGAAGAACTCATCGATGTAATCGACTTGTTCCTTCGGCAACGGCCATTGCCTGGTCACACAATACTTGGTGCCAGGCTCCAGGTCAATCTCGTGCCTGATGCCCCTATCGGCAGGAAGGCGGCTCGTCACTTCGGCTGGAAACACATGACGGTGTTTCCACAGAACATCATAGAACGGGCTGTCCTTCAAAGCATTCCAGTCTTTAGCAGCGAACTGCTTCTTTTTGTCGGTCTCCAAGACGCTCTCATCCATTGTGGATGACGAGCAACAGTCCACCACGTTCTTTTCTGGAACTGATGCGAATATCTCGTGGATCTTTCCTTCCTTTAGTTCGGACAGGAACAGATCCCACGTCATCTCTGAGAGATCTACTATCTTCTCGGCAGATGCCAAGACAAGTTTAGCACCTCAACTGAGGATGCCTCCGGTATCTTGTCTTTGACGACCTCAAACAACTCGGTCGTAGTCTTGGACCGATACTGATCCAAAGGTCACCGTTTCGACGTACCCTTGATCGTCTTAATACGTCTGGTGATCGTTCTTCGAGTGTCCACGACTTTTGACCTAGAAGAAGGTGTCGTTGCTATCTCAGCTAACGCACCTCTTCCAACCGCACCAGGCCCATGGCTCTGTGCCGGTTCTTGTGGCGCTTGACTTCCTGTCAGCCCACCATTAACTGCCACAGGCTCTCGGCTCAGCAGGACTTTTGGACGCATGACTACTTGTCATCGCCCCATTCACTACGCCAGTCTTTTCGACCTGGTAAGGAATATGTGTCACCTGACTTTCTGCCAGGGCAATTCCAACTACACCACTCTTTTCGAGCTGGGTAGTTCCTGGTGCCATTAACATACCGTCATCGCACCCTCGACTGTGTTGGACACAGCATCAATCACATAAGCCTCTAGCAGGAGCACATCCTTTCCGGTTTTTGCGTATAGTTAGCGACTGTGCGTGTACGCCAGTCTATCCATGGTTGGCGTTTAGCCAACCAAGGCATGCCTAGGATGAGGTCATACGGACTCTCCATACCTAGCACTGTGAACTTCTCTTTACAAGAGAAGTCACTAAAGCTGACGGCGAGTTCAACTTGAACTCCCTCCGATTTAACGAGCGCGCCGTTCGCTAAACGAACGATCGCCTCTTCTCTCTTGCCACCCTGGAAAAGCGACTCATAACTCGCCGGTCTCTTTTTCAGAGCCGCGAGTTTCACAAAGTTTTGTGATGCACCCGAATCCACGAGAAGGGTCATCACTTGGTCATAGCCTCGTACTCGAGCGCTATATACCAAAAGGGTTGGGGTCCGACCTTTCGGAACCTCAGGGACTATGCTACCCATTTGTTCGATCACTCTGAACTTAGGGGTAGCTTCAGAGTCCGCGACAGTAGGGCATCCCGCCCCTACTGCGCTCCCACTTTCCCGTCCCATCTTAAACAGATGCTGAACCCGTGCGTCGTGCACGCTGGCTTTTTGCACCTACTTTCGGGTATGGAGCCTTCTTTCTGGATGCCTTAGCACCAGCAGTAAGTTTGGCATAGCAGCGAGCCATTATATGGCCTCGCTTGCCGCACTTGTAGCAGATCACATCTGCATTGCCTAACTCTATAGGAGTGGCATCAGACTTCTCGAACGACGGCCTGTAATAGTCTGTCGCCGAGGCGCTGTTGTAGAATTGATTCTTAACTAAGGCAATGTCAATTGCCTCTTCAATCGTCGCTGGCACCTTTCTAAAAAGGGCCCGACGCGATGGGCCGTGCCTAAGTCCATTCATGAACGTGGCCACCTTTATACGTTCCGGTATCGGACTCACATTAATGGACGCCGACAGAGAACGCATCTCCTGCACAAATTTTTTGCAGAGAGCGTTTCACCTGTCGTGCTCCAAAAAAGCGCGCCTGAAGCAACACTTCGTTGATAGGCGGCTAATACATGAAGCAAATCTTTGCTTTAAAGATCGCTCATGACGGAAACGCATCAGCATTTGCCATCAGCGCAGAGTATGCCCACTCTGACGCTTTGCCACGCAAGTTGGACATGGCATACGACACCATTCTGGTTGAATTTGGTGTTTATAATTTGGTATTAACTTCGCTACGAGAGGTCGGTAGGATTCGTTCTCGAAGGTTATGCATTTTCGGGGGTGAATGTCACTTGCCGAACACATGTACTGTGAGAGGTGATTAACTTCGCATGGAGAGGTCGGTAGTGCTCTCTGATACCCGGGGCCCCAGGGGTATCGGAAAGTCTTGCGCTTGCGGGGATCGAACCAGTGACCGCTGGGTCATCAGGTCGGTGCTTAACCACCGCACCATGGGGGGGGCCCAAAAAGTGCGATACTTCTCGATTTATGCGTCCTTGCGCAGGGG